GGTCCAGCAACTCTAGCAAACAATAGCACACATGCACCACACACACATCATGGACCACCACTCGCTCTTCGGGGCTCATGCGACACGGGCGCCGTTCGCCGACGACTTTACTGCGATCAACCAAATTAATCTCTAATTCACCTAGCACTGTCCTACCACCTTATAAACTCAATCTTCACTTGTCTCCTCAGACATTATATTTTCACACTCTGCCTCTTCAAGATCGTCAGTAGCGCTCCAATTACCCGACAACCCATCATGAGCGCACCTTTAAGGACCTTTAAAGTTCAAAGCGTTGTACCCTGCAAGGTACAACGATCTCCCTCTAAAACCTCCACAACTTAAAATGGACATCCATGCCTAGTATCTAAAACTGTCCGGTTACACTCCGCACACTAAATCACATAGACGAAACCCATCGAAGTTGACCTTCGTTCGATGAGACCTATGTTTCTCACAAGACGCTGCACCCTTTATATTTATGCACGTGACGGTAGCTGATATTTAGTGCAAGAAAGAGACAGCGATATTATACGCTAGCAGCACGTGCACCGGACGCTTGGTAGAAAGTATAAAATAGACCGCTCCGTTGTGGCTGCACGCATTTTCCAACGAATGCGTCTCGGTGCACGGACTGCTGTCTCAGTACGAGTCTATGTCTTCCCACTCTTAGCCATTAGTCGGTACTCTTGCCAACTATTCGGTTGGTGTAAAATCGCGATCTATTGTTTAATCTGTATTAATATTAATTGTGTGTCTACCTACTTTAATATCATTGCTGATTTAATGTCGGATCATTTATTAAGTCATTAGTAAGGTTTAAATCAATAAAACATTTTATAATCGTATCCATCATGTCTTTTACTTCGGATGTCTGAGCATATCCCGACACATGTATAAGAATTACAGTGCGAAGTTCTAGACTTGAGAATATAAAAAAAAATTGTAACCAACTTTATCTTCCTCTAGCCAATTTTCCCTACTCTGTCTTTTTAGCATTCATGTTCATTTTAACATTACAATAATTTATTTATTTTGTTAAGGCCAAACACTACAAATAAATAACAACAGGAAAGTTGACACTTCTTCTTCTTCGAAGGCCGTTGGGGTTCCTTATGATATCGCCAATGACACAATAATGGTAAAGAAACAAAGGGTTTCAAATATCTAAGAATACCTTCTGGTTGTTTATTTTGCCTAACTTTTATAATGAAATGATGAAGATAATGATTTTATGATTGTTGAATGAAAGTTGACACAAATCACGACCAATATGTTTGACACAAGTAAAGATACTATTATATTTTTTTTTATTTGTAGCGATCCATAGATAAAAAATTCATGAATGCATTCTTTTATCATTAAAATTTCACCATTTTTCTATGAAATGGCAACATTATGTTCAATGAAGATATTTTAGTTATCGGAGGTATATCAAACGATTATGAATAAAGATTTTTATCGAACGTTTGTTACGCTTAAAAGAACTGATATAGGTTTACACCTTCGATAAGTGTTCTATTACGAATAAGACAGACTTTAAAACCGACATTACACGCTCCATCTGTCCATTCGCACGTGAAGATTCCATCGTGATCAAATGCAAATTAATTTTACTAAAGGATCAAAACTCTTTAAATCATTTAACCGTGGAACATCGTCCCTGATCCGCAACACCTGGAGTTGGGAGTGCCAAACAGCGCTACACTATATTGAACTGCCCTTATACTACTTTTTAATCTATATTAACCATGTGAAATAATAAGATGTAATTACTGAACACTAAAACGTATTTTACAATAAGTATTTAATCGATAAGCACTAAAAAGTATTTTTTTCTGATCGCTCTTGCAGCTTTTTTAATTTTCCCGTCGCGTCCATGTGTATAGAATGCCAAGGTATATCTTCTTTAAGTATCGAGTGTAAATGAGCTTGCTTTTACTTTACCAGAGTGTAATTTTACTACATAACACGTAACACAATTTTCAATAAACTTCTTAACGTAACGAGACATTTCCTCAAACCAATAGACGTTATAAATAGTCTTTATGGTTTTATCGTAATCGATATTCATACAGAGTACAAAAATCTGAGCGGTGCTAAATAAACTTGACACGCTCATCCCTTAATAAAATTACAAAATTTTGTTTACGTTTACCGCTAAGGTTACTTGAAACACTATTTAATGAGTTAACACTTAGCACCACAATCATAAAGTGCCTGACGTCGGATTTACAATCGATGTTTACAATCTGTCTTTCACTATAGCTACGCAAATAACGTCGGAAACGAAAATATGTGTACTTCCTAACATAAATACTATAGGAGCCGTGATAGCTCAGTGTCCGGGCGCTCGCCTTTAATTCAATATACTCGAGCAACCTGAGTTCGATCCCCGGTGCCGGCACCAATGAAATTGTTAATTTTAAGTGCTGCTGGATTATAATAAAAAAAATATTTCGAAGATATGTGAAGTCCGCCAAGCCGCAGTGGGGCCGTGTGGTGGACTTTGCCCTGATACCCTCTGTACAGAGTAGGCCTTTGCCCAGCAGTGGGACATATAGGTATATGCTGATACTTTCCTTTTTTTATTATATTGTTGAAAGTTAGGCTTACAAGTAGATTACTTAATACTATATAGATCAAAAAGTCTATCCCTGCTCTTTCTAATTCCTTTAGTTGCCCATTCAATTAAGTAAAGTTTATTGACTAAGGTTATGGTTTTCTTTTTTGGCAGAGTTTTATTAAATTCTGTGCTAATCATATTAGACAAGGCATTGAAATCGCCATCGGGATAATTATGGGTTAATTTAACCGAGGGTAGCTTAATACTGTCTATAAATTTGTTAATTCTGTTTTTAGTTACAGGCCTAAATTCATTTATAGTAACATTATTCCTGTTATTTATGTGAAGATCTATTTCAAGTGTTTTATGATCTGATCCACCAACCATCAACTCCATATTATTATTTTTTTGTACTGACTAGATTAAGCTTACTAATGTAATAGACGACTGTAAAATACTCTATTAGAGTCAATTGATAATTATTGCACAATCACCCACTTTTTTAAGGATTTTTCGGTGAAAACAGTGCCATATGCGTTTATGTCATATATATTTTCTGAGTTTTTAGTAGAACAACGTTATAAATGAACGTGTGAACCATTATGTTTTGGAATGTTCCGTTGAACAGCGTTATATAAACGTGTATATATGAACTTGTTACCCATCAGTTTTTGCCATTTTCCGTAGGAGAACGTCACTAATACACATGAAATCTCTTATTTCCTTAATTTATATAATTATTTATTCAAAAAGTATACTGTCTGTTTATATACCTAATCATATTACAAACCTCAAAAATTTTAATAGCAACTGCGATATGCGTTTTGACGGACACTAAAAACTTTTATCTTTACTTTCCATAGTTAAACTGCGCATTCTTACACCCAGTTTCCGAAAGCGCAATCAATTTTAATTTACGATAAATCTCTTGTCAAACGTTGTTTAACATGATCTGAGTTGCTAGAACGTCTGAAAACAACATTGATTTTGATTTGCAATTAGTCACTAATTAACGGACAATCAACATAAAATCGAGTTTCTGAAAGCGTTTTTCGGTGGTCAACGAGCTGTCAAAAGTTTTGTTAAGTAATCTGTCAATTTGGACGATCAGTCGTTGGTTAAAAATGTATTTTATCAAAAATCTTAGCTTTTATTAAAAATAAACATAATTCCCTAATACGTTGTAAGGAAATTCATGTGTTCTATTACCTATTTATTATTTATTATTTTGCGAACATATCATGCGATTAGAAAAATAGAAAATACAATTCAAAAGTTAAAAAATAATATGGATTCTTTCTTTTTATAATACTTACTTGTTTATTATGGATAAAAGTTCATTTTTTTCACGTTCTGTAAAGTTTTTTCTTGACATTTGGCATGTATTTATATAAATTAAATTTTATTATAGCTCGGATTTTTACGTTGGCAATCACACGGTGACAGGACTGAATAGTGACATTAATTTAAGTTTTGTTTAAAAAGGGACAGCTATACAATAGAAAGAGTTAGTTGAAGTAAATCATTCATTTCATTCATTATCATTGGTTATTCAGTGATTAGCTAATTTTTCTTGAACAAACCTTCCAGAAACCCAAGGCAGTTTAACAAGAGATTAACAGCTGATCATTTTTGACATAGTGTTATGTGATTGCTGCTTTGATTGGCCTTTCGGAAACTGGGCATAGTAATGAAATACCAAACTAAATGTTGCTAAGCCAACAATTAAATATGCGAGGCTCTTTATTTCTATACTTTTACTTATCTTAAAAAATGTAGTGTGTATCTTGTATTAACTGATGTTTTGCTTTCAAGACTATTAAAGCTTCATCTGACGCAGAACCGGTGGACTAGCCATAACCCATGGGTTTGGGCCCTCCGCTGTGGGTAGGGCCACTTAAAAAATGAGAAATGGAACGTAGTATATAAATAGTAATCGAACTAATTCTGGGGGAAAAATCAATAATTTGGTAACCCTGGTTTCGACTTTCGAAGTGACAGAGAAGATATACAGTGTGAGTGAGAAAGCAGATCAATCAAGAAAATGGCTGTCGTAATTGTTATAGAGACATCTATGGTTCGAACGAGAAAATAGATGCTGATTATAATACTACTAATTTTAAAAGGGATAACTTTCAACATGATCTAAAATGTCCTGTGACATTTTTAATTTAATAGGATAATGTTCTCACCGAATTTGTTATAAGTTTCAAATGTTCTAAGATTGTACGGCCTGATGTCAACTAATCAGCTGTCAAATGGCTTTTAAATTTTCAATTTCATTTTAGTTGCCAAAAGGATGGTTAACTCTCTGAATTGACCAGAATGATCTTCTTAATTATCAGTATGATCAATTCAAAGAGTTTAACCATCCTTTTGCCAACTCAAATGACGTTTGAAAAGCCATTTGACAGCTAATTAGGTTACATCTACAATGATCAGCGTTTCAGAAACCGGGCGTCAGTCACTCAGTCATATTCAAAAAACGTTATTATCGTTAATTTCAAAAGGAAAGGAAACTTAAATCTTGGGCTCTTTTCCTTGGAACATAATAATTAATACTATTATAAGAGGTTTTAGTTGCTACAATTTCAAAATGTGTACAATGGAGGAAAGTTGGAATTATGGAATAAACATAAATTTGATTGAAAAAAACAATTCTTTTGCTTTTGAAACTCAAATCAATAACTTATGTGAATACATTTTTAAAACTTTAGAAAATGCTTTCACAGTTGAAAGTAACAGCAATAACCACGGTATGGCTAAAGACTGCGATGACGATTTGAAGAACATAATGGAAAACAATAAGAATTTACGCCATGAAATAGATATAAAAATTAAAGAGCTTCAGCGACAACAAGTTCGATACAAAACTTTTAAACATGGTAAGCATCAGTTGTACTCTAAGTTCTACATATTTTGACTTATTTTATTGAAATAATCGTTTCTGTACTGAGATAGAGCCACGCAAAAGCTTCTGATGTTGCACAAATAGGAAGGGATTGCTGGGGAAGTACCATAGCCCTTTCGGGCTTTGCTTTATTATCCGGCCGCACGATTTTCATTATAATTTTAATTGATATGTAAATAGGTATTATTAGTTGGATTTTCTGTGGAAAAATTTAGTATTTGAGAAATGAATTTTTTGTTTTATGAGTTTACTACTAGGAATCTCAGTTTCTGATGAGATAATGTTCTATACATTCCACAAAAAAAATATAACCGAGGTTAATATATTTATTAATGGTCTTTTTAGTTGATTCGGTTTTTTGATGTTGATCATTATGGTGGATAGCCCGATTCAGAACAATCTGACACCGAAAAGTAAGAATAAAGCTGGTGACGTCAGATGGGATTTTGTTATTGTTGTCTGTTGAACAATGACCAGCTCCAGAACAGAAGTGATGACATCCTGTAGGTTAGAATGTTGAATATTGGGGAAAGGGTTAGACACCTCCCCCCACCACTTGGTTCTATATTAATACCACCATAGAAACATGGCATAGGTTTCGATAGTTTTTTAAGCCATTGCATATCTTATGTCGCGGGCTTTGAGCCCGGCCACCGAATCAAGAAATTCATTCCATTCCGTAACGAAAATATAACCTAACACCCACTTCACCTACCATGTAGCTCGACCGAGCGTTCGCTTAACATGTATGTATATGGTACGACTGTATGAAGCAGGCCCACAGTTTTAAAGGTTTTCAACACATCAGTAAGCCGGGTCTTGTAGATGTCCTTGGGCGTCGACAATTAATTAATATTGAGTGATCCGCCTACTCGCTTGCAACTTTTTGCATAAAAAAAAGAAATATTTCACCAGATAATTTCAAAAATGCTTTTATGCTTTCAGATCAGAAACTCTTGTCACAAGAAATTAAGGAAAAACACGAAGCCTTTTTAATGGCAAAGAAATCTTATAAAAAAAATTTAAAAATGTATTATACTATCGAAAGTAAAATTGACAATAAACAAACAAGTTATATTCAATTCTTTACTGAAGCCAAGAAAGATTCTGATAATTATAGTGTACGGCTGCTTAAAAATTTGGAGAGTGGAAAATATGAATGTGAGAATTTTTTTAACTTATTTTTATGTATCTTTAATTTGTTGGCCTCTTTAACAAGTGTAAGGATCAAGTATTTTTAGATTCTGTTTTTTAAAATAATTTCATAATATAACATGAACCTGAACTATAGTTTTTAAAATATGTAGAAAAAAAGTTGAAGAATTTATAGTTATACTATTTATAGTTATAGTTACACTTAAGATTGCAAAGATTAGCACTATAAACAATTTAAATTTATAGTTTTTAATTAATTTATCTATATTTTTCTTATTAATGTAAAAAAAATTAGTTTACTATGAATACAGCTTCATTTATAAATATAATTGTGCAGTAAACAAGATGAATATTGTATGTTTTTGCATTTCAGTGTTTAGTACAAATCCGAAATTGAAGGATTTTAAAGAGATACAAAGGAAACTGGAGGAATCTAATGACCCACCTGGTGCATTATGCTGTATAAGAGAATTTTTCTTAGCTGTGAAGTCATCAAATAAGGTACAAATTAAAAATAAATAAGACAAAAAATCAAATAATGTATAATGGAAGAGAAATAATAATAATCTTAAATATTGTATTAAAAAATTTATTAATTGTGATTTATAATTACAGTGTAACATGTTCATATAAAATAGATGCATTTCAATATTGAGGTCATACATTGGCTACTCCATCTCCCTTTATTTAAATTTCCCTGTAGAATATTATGTAAGTATGTAGTGGAAGCATTTATTAACACAAACTTCACACATTCCAAAGTATGTAAACTATAACATATACATATTCCATTGTACATTTAATACTTCAAAACAAATGAGATCTAACCAAACAACTATTTATAACAAATAAACATATACTAGAACACAACATTCTGTGAATAAAAAAAATAATAAAACTAATGTTGAATAAAAGTTGATGAGAAAATAACTTCACTTAAAATATTATAGAATTAAGAAGTGATTTAAACCTAAAATGTTGCTTAATATAACTTCAGATTCTTAGTTTATTCTTGTTTTTATATAATTTTGATCAAAAACGATCTGTAGACCGAGCAAAAAAATATTTTAGTTTTCATCTTTTAACATATTAATTTTTGCTTGGAAACAATTTTCATTAACAACAAAAATATCCAATATTAACAAAAACATATTATTTAGTTATTTTTTCTCAATAATGTAATTATTAATTAGAGATTTTGAATTAAGACAATAAAACATCATTGTTGCTTAAAATTGACAAAAAATTCAAAGGTCATCATCATTTCAGCCTATTAGAGGCTTATTTTCAGTTTAAATATTAATTTTAATTTGTACTTTTATATAACCTGTGGTCAATTTTGCAAATAACAAACTACATACATAGTTCATACCCAAACAAAAATGTCAATTCAACATCTTTCATAATATGTAATATCCGACGCCATGCAGGTTACGCTTATAGTTCATATTTTCAATAAATGATTTTATAAACTAAAACTATTATATAAATTAACCAAATGCTGTTAGAAATAAAAGGTGTTAATAAAATAACTAATTTTAATGTCTTTTATTATTAATTGTTAATGACTAACTACCGTTACATTAAGGATATTTAGAACTTGTTTGAATGACAAATACTATCATATCTTGTAAAAATTACTTTTATACTCTGAGACTGTTGCTTAAAACAACTAGAATCAATTTAAAATATAAATATTAAATAATCTGTAACACTGGGATAAATGCTTAAATTTTATAACAAAAATAGTTAGTACAATGTAAAATTTTTCAATAATAGAATACAATAAGCATTACTTTAAATCATCATATACTTACAGATCTATAGACAACTTCTAAACAACAGGAAGATATAGCATCTAATAGTTTTTAGACATGCAAAGTACTTTTTAAATTTGGATGTCTAAAACAAATAAATGCAGGTTATAATTTCCATGAATAATAAAAGTGAAAAATGAACATGTGATTTTCTAATTAGTTAGAAAGCTATAAATTCTTATCATATAATAAAAAAATACAAGAGATAACAGCATGTGTGGACATATAAATAAGATTAACTGTTAGGATGTTTTTAGTTTAACATTTAGTTCCCCAATACTTTCATTTGAACATACACATTTATTACCTTTGGAAGATGCTTGTGAAAGTTCATTGGTTGATGTGCCGTTTGATAAACTTTTTCTTTTGCTTGGCAAAAGTAATGCACCCAACGCTATAAAGTGAAGGGAATAATAAAACTTCCTGAAAAAATGAGCATAATTAGCAAAACAGCAGGCAACTATGAAATTAATTAAAATAAAAAAAGACAATTATTAAAAAAATATTTCAGTTTTCATCTTTTAACATATTAATTTTTGCTTGGAAACAATTTTCATTAACAACAAAAATATCCAATATTAACAAAAACATATTGTTTAGTTATTTTTTCTCATTAATGTAATTATTAATTAGAGATTTTGAATTGAGACAATAAAACATCATTGTTGTTTAAAATTGACAAAAAAATTCAAAGGTCATGATCATTTCAGCCTGTTATAGGCTTACGTTCAGTTTAAATATTAATTTTTGCATGTCTAAAATTAATGAAAATAAAAAAAGACAATTACCCATAAAACGCAAGATTTGGCGCAAGGTGCAATAAGACGAAAGGTACAGTAGCGTAAGTCATCGCAATGCGGGTCGTAATGAAAGTCAATAAATCATAAAAGAATTTCTTTGGTCTGCTATCTAAAAACATTGGGCGAATAACAGCACGCACCTATAAAAAATATTAGTGTTAATTTGCAATTAGAAATATTTCCATGAACTAACGTCGGACCTGGACTCTATTGTCTAAGGAAACGCGACAGCAATTCCAATGGTTTTATAACATATCAAAGATGAGAGGTAATTGCTTAGCATCAGGTGACCCGGCTGCTTGTAATCACCATCTTCTATATTATGACTGCTTAATTTCTAAATCGATAAAATTTGGATAAAATGCTAAAAATCAAACAAAATGTGTATACAATATTTTTGTTTTACTTGCTAATCTGCATCCAAAATGAAAACAAAACTCAAATATTAAATATGAGTTTAATAGATGAATTGTGGATGTGAAGTGGCTGTTTCTTATGATATCTCTAAATATTATTACTCAATGGATTTTTTGTCCGTACGGCATAACTTCTCATTCTTGATTAAATTTAATAATTCAAATACCATTTTAAAGCTTATGTTTGCGGCTGGTAACGAAATAAAGATACGTACGAGTTTATTGTTTTCATTAAAAAATCCGTCTATTCACAATTTGTTTAAATTAAACACACCGAATTACCAAATTAGAATGATTATCACGGTTACTCATCGCGATAAGATACCCGACGAAAACATCGCACAGGTCATCTTGTAATTTGCATAGCCGATTCGTTACCTTTTTGGCGGCGACGGTGAAAAGGCCGCCGGCGAAGAAGGTGAGGTAGTAGCCCGGATGGAAGCCGTGCCATATGGCGGAGAGCGCGTACACGCGCGCGATTCCCGCCCGCCGCCCGCCCCTCTCGTACGCGACGCCGCGCAGCCACGCGTTCGTGTTCTTGTTCCAACTGGCCACTGCCGCGCGGAAGTTTTGCGCGAACTAATAACAGAATTCGATTTGTTTTCTGAGTAATACATAGTAATGGTTCGTTACACGTATAAAATGGCAATTTAGTAAAGAAAAAAGTAAAGTAACAGCCTATATTATGTCCCACCATTGAGCAAAGGCCCCAATATATACAGGGTGGCTTTTCTAAAGGTACCCAAATTCACACAGGAGGTTCAGACTCGATAGTATAGTTGTTTATTGAAATGAAAACAAACTTTTTTTTCTTCAAATAATTGCCATTCCTTTCCTTAGAAAACAGAACTTGTTGACAATGCGGTAGTCATTCATAAATGCGTCGTATACTATTGAAACGAACTTGTGTGTGAATTAGTTATGAATGATCGCACGTATAATAAATTTGTAGCCCATAAATCACGAACTTTTTGAGATAATTTCAAGTGAATGTATTTAATTAATTACGAGTGCTTTTAAGTATTTATAATTTTTTATATAACATTATTTGTCTAGAATGTAATAAAAAAATGGATACACTTAAAAAAGCCGTATAAAAAACTATTATTTTCCATTTTTTACGGACGTCTATCAAGCAATAACTGGATTTAACTTTACTATCCTTACCTCGAATCCAAATACGTCTATGTTGGACATTTTGTCCCATTTGGGCGTACCGTCGGCGTCGTACCCGTTGAAGCCCATACCGGAGTTGTTGCAGATCGCCTCCGAGAGGAGCCATGCGTGGTAGTACTTGCACCGTACCACTAGCGTGGACAGGTACGCGTACCAAAGCAGGTACAGGGCGGACCACGATCGTGACACTTCGGACGCGGGATCGGTCAGCTCTGTTTCGAAGGAATTATAATGACGTAATAGATTGCTATTTAGTATCACGTGTAATAAATAGATGAACCCGTGGCACAGTTGTTAGATTCTCCCACCATGCGCATCCGTCTTTGTCACCTGTCACCCGAATGGCGTAGTGGGTAGTGTACCTGCCTCCTGCGTCAGAGGGTGTGAGTTCGATGCCCACTACTGGAAAAATATTATGTGATGAACATTGTATGTAGTTAATGTTATTTTTTGTTTCCTCTTTTATACTTAGTTTTCTTTGTTATTTTATTATAAATACAATAACATTAACAATTAACAGTCGCAAGAATAAATAACATGAAGTACGAAACAACAATGACACTGTCAGTGTCAACTAAATATTTGGCATTTGACATTACTGCTTCCATTACAATTTTTGACGTTTTCTATTAGGTAATTTTCGTATTTTATTGTAGAAATAACTAAGAGCTAATTATGCTGTTTGTTTTTCTTTTGTTTTCTTTGTTAACTGTAGTATTTTATTTTTAAACTTATCTTGTATAATTTCTCATGGTGTAAATCTCTTTCAGACTGCTGGCGGATTAGGGACACGTAAATTTGTCTGCATTTGTGTATATTTATAAAGTATTTTTAATCATTATATTATATAATTTATTATTATTTTAATATTATTAGTTGCATATATTCGTATATATATGTTTCATTATTTATTATATCATTTATATTGTTATTTTTTTAATGTCTTTAGATAATGCTATAGTGAATGATGATTCTAGCGATTTCTTGTCTTTTGCGTCAAATAGTTCTAGTGGAGGTAGCTTTCACAGTACAATATCTTCTATTTCGATAAATGAAGTCCTCAATTCATATTTCTCAGATTCTCTGAAAAATTTTAATGTGGTTCACATAAATGCCCAAAGTATTCCGGCTCACTATCCCGATATGCTTGCATCTTTTGAGTCCCGTAATATTCATGCCATTCTTGTCTCCGAATCTTGGTTAAAGCCATGTTTACCATCTACCTCTTACTCATTACCAGGATATCACCCCATTCGCAATGACCGGGTTGGAAGGGGTGGTGGAGGGGTGGCAATTTATCTCCGTTCATATATTCCATTCTCTGTGGTAAGTATGTCCACCCAGCCTCCTCCCTCTAATGCGGCCGAACATCTGTTTATTGAAGTAACATTATCCCACACCAAAATTCTTCTTGGCGTTTGTTACAGTCCATCTCTTCATATTGACTACTTCTCTACACTTGAATGTTTACTAGAAAATTTAATACCTTCATACAGTCACACAATAATTATGGGCGACTTTAATACATGTTTACTTCAAGGTGACAATCGATGTGAAAAGCTAAAATTGGTTACTGAAGCGTGTAACTTACATATTTTACCGCTTTCTGCTACTCATAACCAACCTGACTGCTCTTCTCTTCTCTTCACTTCTCTTCTCGACCTTATAATTGTGTCTTCCCCTGATTTTGTCTTGAGGCATGGCCAGCATGAGGCTGATGCTTTCTCTCATCACGATCTTTTGTTTCTTTCATACAGAGTTCGCCCCCCTAAAGCTAAATCGAGAATCCTTCTGCAGCGTAGTTTTGGTGGAATGGATAAAGAACGTCTTCTTGAAGATGCTCGACTTATTGATTGGTCTGCTGTTGCTTATGCTCCTACAGTCGACATGAAAGTTGAATTGTTTAATTCGTTTATTACACAGCTAAACCCGTAAAAATAAAACATTTACCTGCGCCGTGGTTAACAGATGATCTTAAAAACATTATTAAGAAAAAAGGCTATGCGAAAAGCAAGCTGAAAGCTGATCATTCTGTTAAAAATCTGTAAAATTATAATAAACTGCGGAATCGCTGCAATACATTGTGTAGAGATGCACAACGACGCCACTTTCACAAATCTGTCGAAAACGGCGACCCTGCCAAAGTTTGGAAATTTCTTCAATCTCTTGGAGATGGTAAAGCGTCTTCCAGTTTGCTTCACCAAAATATGGATATTGAACTCCTTAATGAATATTTCACCTCTTCTAGTTCCTTAGATATTTCAGATAAGTCGCGCACTCTGAACATTCTTTCTTCCATGCCAGCTCCTGAATTTCCACCGTTTAATTTCATTCCTTTCACTGAGTGTGATGTTAAGAAGAACATATTATCAATCTCGTCTAATGCTGTTGGTGACGACAACGTTAGTCGTAATATGATTTTACCTATCCTTGACTTTATTACTCCTATTATCACCCATATACTTAACGCATCAATCTCTTCATTCAAGTTTCCCGAAGCTTGGAAAAGTGCTCAAGTGACTCCTCTACCTAAGAAAGCCCATGCGTTGCAATTTTCCGATTTTCGTCCTATTTCTATTCTCCCGTCCTGTCCAAAGTTCTAGAGAAACTAGTTTTCTAACAGTTAAATCTCTATCTGAACAAAAATTCTCTTCTTAATCCTCTTCAATCCGGTTTCCGATAAGGTCATAGTACGACTACAGCGTTGGTTAAAGTTACTGATGAAATTCGACGGGGTATGGATAATAAACAGCTCACTGTACTAGTGTTGCTAGATTTTAGTAATGCATTTAATACCGTTGACTTTGACATTCTGTTGAGTGTGTTACGTTCTATTAACATATCTCCACTAGTGATTTCTGGTTTCAAAGTTACTTAAGTGGCCGACGGCAGCGTATTCGCATAGAGGATGAATTCTCGTCTTGGTGTGAATTGCGCGCCGGAGTGCCTCAAGGTGGTGTGTTGTCTCCTCTTCTATTTGCCGTATTCATTAATTCAATTTCTCAAAAAAATCACTTCTCTCTATCACATGTATGCAGACGATCTCCAAGTGTACACACATTCAACTCTTGAAGACTTGCCTACTGCTGTTTCCGCCATCAATGATGACCTGGCCGCTGTCAGTAAATGGAGTAAAATCTATGGTCTCAATGTTAACCCTACTAAGTCCCAGGCTATTATTGTTGGTGGTGTTGGTTTGATTTCAAGAGTTGACTGGAATAACCTTCCCTTGGTAAAATTAAATGACGTTTTAATACCGTACTGCACCACTGTGAAAAATCTTGGTGTCCAATTTGACAATTCCCTCTCGTGGTCGGAACAATTGCATCAAGTGAGCCGAAAAACATTTGCTGCGATGGGTTCTCTCCGTCGTTTACGTTCTTTTCTTCCCATTCCAACCAAAATTATGCTAGCACAATCCTTACTCCTGTCCATTCTCGATTATGTGGATGCAAGCTATCTTGATTTAACCGAAGAACTAAATAAACTTGAGCGTATTCAAAATTTAGCTATTAGGTTCATATTTGGTTTACGCAAATATGATCACGTTTCCGAATTACGTTCAATGCTCAAGTGGTTACCCATTCGTTTTCGCCGGAATCTACACACTGTCTCTCTTCTGTACTGTGTATTATTTAACCCTAGGACTCCAAGCTATTTAAAGGAACACTTTAAGTTTCTTGGCCATAACCATCCAGAACGAGTTCTGCGATCAGCTGAAGATCTAATTCTAGCACCACATGCGTACAAAACTAAATATTATAAGAACTCCTTTACAGTTAAGGCCATCTGCTTGTGGAATGAACTTCCTCAGCAAATTCGTCGTTCGAAGACGCTAGACAAGTTTAAAATTGACGTAAAACAACATTATCTATCGCTTTGTAATCCATAGTTTTTAATGGCAATATTCAGATTTAATTCTTCTCTCGTGTATTTATTTATATATATTATATATTTATTTATGTTTATGTATGTTTACTATAATTTTGTTTATCTTATTATATTTAAGTCTATTTTGGTATTAAGTAAGTTTATTGAGCACACCACCCACTATTCATTAGTTTATTTTTCCTCGTCCTAAGGTTGTTTGGAAGAGATCGCTTTTTAGCGATAAGACCGCCTTATTGTACATAGCTTTTAAGACTTATTTCATACTAATTGTATCAAATTCTTTGTGGTGTACAATAAAGTATATAATAATAATAATACTACTATCCCAGCATGGAGAAGAAGAATTGAGGACCGTATCGCAAAGGTAAGGGCCATCATCGGCAGGCTGATAAGCTTCAGGTCGGGCAATAATAGGCCCAGAATTGTGCGCACCGTTAGGATGGCGTTCGCTGGGACCAACATCAACTTGTCCCAGCCGGATATTACGCAAAAACTAACGGAGCGCATAGATGACCTGAAGCAGAGGATCGCTGCTTGGGGGAAGCGGATTCGGAGATATACCGAGAGGACGGCGCGGTTTAGCCAGAATCGCCTCTTCCAGAGTGACCAAAAGAGGCTCTGCAAATCTTTGGAGCGACCAATGAGCTGTGGAACGGGCCAAGGACCAGACCAGGCCGGCACTGTTGCCTTCTGGCGCAGCCTGTGGTCAGAGCCCGTAGACCACAGCGAGGGCTTTTGGACGCAAGTCGTGGCGAGCCAATGCGCAGATATCACACCCATGGACCCCGTCGTCATAACACCCGACGACGTATCTGAGGCAGTCCGTAGAGCCCCGAACTGGAAAAGCCCGGGGCTTGACGGGCTGCATCACTACTGGCTGAAGGGGTTCGTGGTGTGTCATGCTGTGCTCGCCCGACAGTTCCAAGAAGCTCTCGATCAGAGGTCGCTCCCGAGCCTCTTTACTACTGGGGTCACTCATTTGGTTCCTAAAGATCACGTTACCACAGTAAGTACTAGACCCGAGTAAGTACCGCCCCATTACGTGTCTACCCACCATCTATAAGACACTGACATCTATTCTGAGCATGAGAATCACCCGGCATATTAATGTGAATCGGATTATGTCTCATGCTCAGAATGGATGTCGGGGCGGCGGTGGTGGAACCAAGGAACCGCTTCTCATCGACGCGGTCATTGGCACAATGGTTAAGCGCAACAGTCGGAACTTCTCCGCCGCCTGGATAGACTACAAAAAGGCATTAGACTCGGTGCCCCATACATGGCTAAAGAGGGTCCTCGAACTGTACAAAGTAGACTGTACAGTAAGAGACTTCCTCGGGCACTGTATGGGGCAATGGAGTAGGATCCTTTGTCATCTAGGCGAGCTGGTGACGGCTGCGGAATACCGGATAAGGGTACGAAGGGGTATTTTCCAGGGTGACTGTTTGAGTCCAATATGGTTTTGCCTCTCCCTGAATCCTCTCAGTGTGTTACTAGAGCGTTCGGGGGGAGGATTTCAGCTTCGGAGAGGAGGGACAAAAGTGACCCACCTTTTCTACATGGATGACCTCAAATTATTCGCCTCCAATCGCTCCCATTTGATGGAATTGCTTAAGGTCACTTGTGATTTCAGCAATTCTATCAAAATGGACCTTGGGACGGATAAGTGTGCGGTCCTCCATGTCGAAAGGGGTAAGGTCGCTAACACGGAGGGCATAGATTTATCTATGCCCGTTAACATAAGGACCCTCTCTGAGGCTGAAACATACCGATACCTGGGTATGTCACAAAATATGTGTATCGATGAGGCTGCCATGAAACAGTCAGTTCGTGACGTGTTTTTTGCACGCCTGACAAAGGTGTTTAATAGCCATTTGTCAGGCGTGAACAAGGCACGCGCTTTTAACGGCTGGGTCATGCCAGTCCTCATGTATACCTTTGGCATACTCAGGTAACGACGTAACACTTGGACTCAAACTGAGCTCAACGCACTGGACCGAAAGGTCCGCACAACTATGACGTCCCACAGAATGCATCATCCGAGATCGTCAGTGATGAGGCTGTACCTGCCGCGGAAGCATGGCGGGAGGGGCTTTTTAAGCGCCCTCACCATGCACAATCGCGAGGTGTGCAGCCTCCGTAACTACTTTCTGGCGAGATCGGATGAGTCAATCTACACGGACGTCATTAGTTGTGATAAAGGACTTACCCCTCTATCCTTAGCCAACGAGCAATGGCAGAACCCGGGAGTACTGAGCGTTTCCGACCGAGAGGCCGTATGGAAGGAGAAAGAGCTCCACGGGGGGTTCTACAAGGCTCTACACGAGCCTTTCGTAGATACTGTTGCCTCCCTTAACTGGCTACGTTTCGGTGACCTCTTTGGGGAAACCGAAGGTTTTGTCTGTGCGATACAGGATCAGGTTATTAAGACGAACAACTATCGGAGATACATCTTAAAGGATGGCACCGTCGACATCTGTCGAGCTTGTCGCCATCCCGGGGAGTCGCTTCGGCATGTTATCTCCGGTTGTTCCATGCTTTCTAACTCTGAGTATCTGCATAGACACAACCTAGTAGCCAGAATCCTACACCAGGAGCTCGCTCTGAAATACGGCCTCGTGGAACGGAAACTGCCGTACTATAAGTACTCTCCGGAGGCCGTGCTCGAAAATGACCGCGCCAGGCTCTATTGGGACCGGTCCATCATCACGGACAGGACGATTGTCGCGAACAAACCTGATATCGTGTTGATGGACCGGGCACAGTCGCGGGTATTTTTGGTCGACATTACCATTCCATATGACGAGAACCTCGTGAAAGCCGAAACAGATAAGAAGACGAAGTATCTGGACCTGGCTCACGAGGTGACCGACATGTGGGGTGGTGTGCCGACCGAAATTATCCCGATAGTCGTGTCTGCCAATGGGTTGATCCCAGTCAGCCTCTCCGGACATCTGAGGCGACTGGGACTCCGGGACGGAGCGCTCCAAGCTCTAATGCAGAAAGCGGTGCTCCTCGATACCGCCCGCATCGTCCGCCGGTTTCTCTCCCTTTCACCCTAACCCTCGGCCGTTTGGTCTCCCCTGCCGAGGGCTACCGTCTGGTTGGGTCCTATTTATATATGTATTATACAAAATATTTATATATATATGTATATATATAAATATATATATATGTTTATTTTTATCCATAATATTTATTTTATATATGCAATATATATCTATATCTTTATTTTTATTTATAAACCCAACCAGACGAGAAAACAAATAAATAATAATTGTATTTTTCCAGTGGCTGGGTGTTTATATATGTATAATATGTATTTATTTACAAAAGAAAAGTATGTTTAAGTATGTTTATCAGATATCTAGTACCTAGTGTACTATATACAAGCGTTGCTTAGGGACTAGAAAACGTGGTGTAAAAATGTGTCATAAAAAATATTTGTCATCCCCGTATAAAATTTATCTCTTTCTTTGTTTTCTATCCTGCATTGAAATAAAATGTTATGAAAATAATTGAAATTTACATTAAATATATATTATATATTAAATATTAAAGATATTTCCCAATGTATATATTTTATGAGATCCCTGGACTTTTGTTAACTTGGAGTCGTACTTAGTAAATCTTTTAAAAGATCAGACGGCATTTTTATTACTCTAAAATTTATTAAACCTTACTCGACGCCCTGCCTAACATGAACTAAAGACGAGTTGGGACGTTTTCGTGGCCTCATTTTGGGCTCGGGCTTTTTAAAATATCTTGATTAAAACATAACTAAGTGAAAAATTGACTTGCTAACATTTTTATTGCTATGTACAATAAACTAAATGTTAAACTAATATAAACGGCCCCGAAATAAAAGGCTGAGGTTCGTGTCACGATCATTTACACACTTATTTTTCTTACATTTTTTCTATAAGATCATTGCTTTCTTAATTTTTTGTTTTTTGAATTTTTAAATACACGATTTACTAAAAAAAAACAAGCAAAGCTCGGTCCTCCAGGTACTATACACGGTGGTAGGGCCACGCAGCAGCCTCGACTGTTGCACGAATGGGCAGGCTCGTCCGGGTAAGTACCACGACCTCATAGAAGACCGGCGTAGAGTGTATCTGGTGAGTGAGGTAGCCGGAGGCCAATTTTTCAAAAGGTTGTCAACGCGTCTGTAAACCTTCGGGTGTAGCAGATGTCCATAGGCGGTGGTGAGTCGCTTGGAGTTTCGTGTAAACTCAACGGAAGTTATATGCTAAAAGGTTTCCGTTCTCACGCGTCTGGGTGCGGAACCATAATAATGCACGCACAAATACGTACCTTCCAGAATTGTGAGGGGATACTTTTTGGCCAGTGTTAGGTACAAGACCGCTGCGGCGACAGAGCCCGCCACCTTGTACAGGACTGCCCGCCGAGGCGACGGCTCCGAATCTGTCGTCTTCTCCCTCATCTGGAATTATTTAATCTCATCATAAACCAGCCAGAGCTCGATTACTTTACCAACCTAATTCGGGTTGTAAACAATAAACACTACACAATGGATAAAAGAAATTCTCAATACATTCTAGCCAGCTACGTGTAAAAATTATCTATCTATCTTTCATCATCATCATCATGAGCCGCAACTCCTTAAACTCCTAAATACTCAGGCCATTAACGGTAAGCAATTGTAGGTATATGTATATGAAGACGTTTTAAAATTACGACTGCAATTAAATAATAAAGGAAACTTTAGCGATAACATGATTGCTTAGGTGTAGTAGTAATTAATTAACGCTATTAGATTAATGGCTGTACGAGATGGTTTACTTGTAGTTATTAAGACGAGGGTCTTGGGTTAGATTTCAGCGCGGGTTTCTGAGGATAAGAGGGATTTATTAATTTTATTCCGATTTCAAAAGCCAATAAATAAATTCGAGACCACTTTCCGACATGCTTTGTCTGTCGCATGCGTGGCTCGATCTGATCAACATACCCTCTCCAATACAAAGTGCGCCACGCGTTGACTTGCACGAACTTCACACAAGCGTCTCTGAAGACTTGCACGAGTTTTTAGAGCTCTATGTTCTCAACTCCCCTCTTGTAAATTATCCCCCGGTCAGAATTAAAAAAAAATCATTAACGTTACTTTAGGATAACATTGACCTGTGTGTAAGGACTTCTTACAAACATAAATTTCAGTGTAGTTGGTCACACAAATAGTTGTCCCGTGTGGGATCGAACCCATGACCCCTGACGCCGAAGCCAATACCTTGACAACTGCGCCACGGAGTCATCAATTTATACTGAATAGATCGATTTGTCCTCACCGCGTCGATTTCAGCGCCCTCTATGAACTTTATGTAGTCAGAGTAGAACACGACCGGCCCGCACATGAGTGTCTGGAAGGCCAGTGTGTACGCGAAATATTCCAATGGCGACGGTGTCTTGTCCACTTTGGCTGAAGGCCCGTCGCCTCTCGCGTGGTTTGAGCCCACTTCGCTCCTGGCGAAGTTGTCCTGAAGCAGATACGCCAGCGAGGTCACCCGCTGCGTTATCACCATCACGGGCCCTGAGGAGAGAAACTGCCTTTGCATACGAATACCAACGGTGGTAATACGATAACCCCTATTTACGACAATTGACAAGTGTGTCTAATGAAGAAACGTTTCAGGCAGTTACCGAACCTGTTTTGATAGCGATGGTAATTACTTCATTATAATATTTGAACGCCGTTTCCATTTTCCGAGTTAAGTTTTTTTTTTAAAAGGTAGCAAACGAGCTGGCGGTTCACCTGATGTTAAGTGATAACCACCGCCCGGTGACAACACCCAAAGGGCTGCAGAAGCGTAGCTACCTTTTAATAAAGTGGGCCCCGGCTAACTCACTCACAAGACGAAACGCGGAAGTAATTCCGCGGACGGACCTACCCATTCGTGCAACAGTGAGGACTGTTATGTGGTCCTACCACAGATAGGATACGAAATAATTATGTATATTACAACAGTACTATGTTCACACTACCCAAATAGTTTTTTATGCGAAAGGTGGACAAATAGACAAAACCCACCCCACAACCAGACATTGTTTATTACGCTAGTGTATTACTTTGTGACATAAACTCTGTGACTCGGTGGCTAAACTGTTGGCTTAGCAACTTCGGTGGCAACGAAGCCAAAATACCTTGGCAACTGCGCCACGGGAGTTTTCAAATCTAGTGAGATAACAGGACCCAACAGTTTTAAACTTTTTAAATAAAGATAAATGACTCGATTGTGTGAGATACAGAAGGAAAACCGGCCAAGTACGAGTCGGACTCGCTCACGAAGGGTCCCGTACCATTATCTATAACAAAGGCTGTCTGTTATATGGGAGCGCCACAAATTTTTTTTAATTCTGTTTTAGTATTTGTTGTTATAGCGGCAACAGAAATACATCATCAGTAAAAAGTTCAACTGTCTAGCTGTCACGGTATATGAGATACAGCCTGGTGACGACATTGAGACAGCGGAGTCATAGGGCCCCGTTTTACCCTTTGGGTACGGCACTTTAAAAAATGCCAGTTTATTGGTAGGCAAGATGAAACATTTTGAAGTGATTTTGAGGACTTAGCCCGTCATAAGCAAATAATCCTCAGTAGTTAATTTTTGGTGGTCTGGTCGCCACAGGACGTATTCGGTGGCGGATTGTGCAGGGAGGGCGATGCACTTCAAATATTCTATATCCTAATTCTGATCTATAATCTATATTCTGAAAAAATTCGCAAATCTGTTTAACCGTTACAATTGAGACTTGATAGCTTTACGAATGTAAATGTAGTGTAGACCTCAACAAATCAAATCATTTATTCATCGAAATAAGAAATATAAATTTTATTTATTAATAGTAATTTTTTTATCAAATGTAATTTAACCATAATGAGGCTCATCTGACGGAGAAGAAACAGACGAAAGACAAAAAATTAATCTATTCTCGGCCGCTCTTTAAGACACCTTTTAAACTAGTTTATTTTCAAATTAATTAGCTTCGGATCTGAAGACTTATTGATAAGACCACTTGGAATTTTAACAATTTTAATGTCAGTCAGTCCTGTTCGAGGTCCTTAGTGGCACTTTGTTCTTAATAAACTTTTAATCGCATATCTGCGGACTACATTAAAAGACGATATTTACCGCGCACCGTCCTGGAAACTCGTCAGAGTTAAGTTTGTATAAAAATAAAGGAGCAATAAAAATGTTGCAACCATCATTCTTGTTTTATATCAATCCAAGTATTTCTCGCATTCCAATGTAACACGCTAAAAAAAAATCGGTTAACGTAACATGCTAATAGCTTAAATGGAACGCTAAGCGGTTACAACACTGCGAACAGAAACATCGTGGAAACTAATATTGGGGCATTAGTCATTCGTTAAGTGCGCAATATCGGAGCGTTTATCGAAATTTAAATTTAGTTCAGAACATTCGTTTAGACGAATATAAAGACGAACAAAGAATTTTCTATACCTGTTATGTCCAGCGTATAGTCAGCCGTGTGATACAGCTGCCGATGCAAGTGGAGACACGACAAGTATAACATTGACACTGTCAATATAACACTGAAAAATAAAAGCACCCTTTACGAGAAGCCGAAACTTTTGCTAGCAATGATTTCGAAGGAATGTAGGTACTGCGAAGCATTTTAAAATTAAAAAAAAATATTAAATTAGCGTTAAAAATCTAAGTATTTATACATTCTGCCAAGCATTTCTACATACTAGGTAGTAAATAAAAACCAATGTACGCACTTTCCCATTATCCGATTCGGTAACGTCTTAAGCAGAATATAACTTAACATTGGCAGAACTGACAGGTGTACAGCTTGTCTGTAAAATAAAAATAAAAAGTCAATAGCCAATTTTCTCTGAAGAAAGAATTAAAATCGGAGATTTTCGAATTAATGATAAGGGTTATGGACTTATGGATCGACAAATCTCCGTTTTTCAAAAGACTATCTTTGGTTCTGTTTGTGTGGCTTACACCAATTTTCTTATGGATAGAACCATGGCATTGGATATTATGCACCCGACAATTTTATCTATAATAGTCATATTAAAATAAACTCTGTCAAATGCATAGCGCATTTAGCTCATTATTTATAATGTACGTCGTTTTTATCAAGCTTTAATTAAAAAAAAAGTGGTAGAGCAACGTAACTATTGAAATAATTAATATGCGAAAATCATAAAGGTTCTTACAATTTTGCATTAAGGAAATACGACATCAATTGCCGTAAAACATTAATTTGATGCTAATATATAAAGGTACCTCACGTTTGTACTTTATTGGACGATAAAGTGATACAGAATACGGAACAAAAATTTAGAGATTTAGTCATCTAACGTTTAAAACTTATTTTTAAGTTAAATAAGAAAGTGTCCGTTAACTATAACTTTACTTCATATTTTATTTATTACGATTAAATAATTAATAAGATTAAAAACGATCTAGCTTTTTTAAAGTTTAACTAATGTTATTTTATTACTATGTAATAAGGTTTTAAGTAATGTCATCATCGCCGCCCATGGACAGCCACAATTGACGGGTCCAATGCGTTGCCAAACTTTACGGCGCTGTATGCAGTGAATTTTTAACTAGGTATTTGGGTGGTGAAGTATGAGGAAGCGGAGGAGGGGTAACGCCGCTTAGCGGCGCGCAGCGCGCGAGTTTCGTCGACGCGCCGCTAGGCCAAGTCATTCATTGCTTAGTGTGTGTGTAGTGGTGGGCCATAGGATACTATCGATAGTATCATGGAAGGCTTTCAAAAATGTTAATAGATGATCACTATAATATCTTTTATAGACCATGATTGTATTTTACTTTTATATTATAATAGGAATAATAATAAACAAACAAATATAAAGTATGAGAAAGCAATCAACAATTTTAGAAAATCTTCTTCCTGTTTATTAATTTCTTTTTAATTAAATGGAAAAGAAATTGATTAAAAATACATATTAAAGTCAAATAAATTAATAAAGGCAAATTACTTATAATTATTATTTTTTGTTTCCATGGTTTATATTGGTATTTTAAAGAAATGGCTCATAAATTGCAGAAATTACGAATACAACTTTTTTTATTACATTTTTTTTATATATTAGGAATTTTAATTTATCCTTTAAATGTTCAAGATTTACAATGTTATATTACTTTCTCAACTAAAGTGAAATTTAAAAAACTATCGATAAAATCTTTATTTGTATCGATAAACGACACCAATTATAACTAGAATCGAAATTTTGTCACTTTCCACAGCCTAGCCTCACGTAGCCTGTTGGTCCGAGCGTTATACAAAACGGTAAACTATTGCTGTAGTCTCAGGTTCAAACCCTCATCGAGTGGAGTTGTAATTTTTATATTATTTTCACGTTTAATTTGTTAGCCAAAAAATTATTTTTTTTATAAAATGGCTCAATTTGGCAAATAAACAATTAATAAGAAAAACTATAAAACAATTATTTTTCGTGTATAAGATAAATTTTCGTTTTAGGGTGAAAAATTAAATATTTTAATAAAAAATTTGATGACGTTAAAAAAATTTTATACTAAAAGTTGGTTTATTTACTGATAGATTGTTCTCCAACTGTTTCAACTTTGAACAAATACAATAATATTTCGTTGTAATTATTTATGAAAATAAAAAATGAACAAAAATTAAATGGTAATTAAGAAATATTTCCAAATAAGAAAATCAACAATAAGTACAACAAAAAATTTAGAGATTTGAACCCAATCTATAAAGAATGATGGTCCTATACACTGTATGTATAGGACTGATAGACCAATCACGAGCTAAGACATTGAAATTACGCTTTAAATAAATTAATTAACAACTGTTAATACACACAAATAATTTAAAATACGAAATATGTGAATATATATTTTTTTCGTGTTATGGAAGGTCATTAATTTCATTAAGATTTATTGATGTATTACGTTCATTTTTGGATTTGAATTTCTCTTTTAGAGGTAGTTTCATGATTTTTTTCTATCGAGAAAATATATCGAGAATATGTTTTGGAAACAATGTACGATCAAGATTAACATATATATTTTTTGGCTGCTATAAAATGAGTAGATTTTGCTAAAAAAATCTTTTGAAAAACCTATTTTTACTGCATACAGCGCCTTAAAAAACTGGGTTGCATTACCTTACTCCGCACACCAAACGCAAACGTAAAATCTTTGACTATAGACAAGTATATAATCAAAGCGTATAAATAAATACTTTCAGTTCACGCTCGGCTTCTGTGAGGCCCGTCCGTGAAAGTACCAAACGTATTACGATATTATTAAAACTACATAACACATTTTCGGGTTGTTTTGTTACAAGCTTAAATTGAGACACTGAAAGTCAACAAAAACACGTTCGAGTAGGATGATCTATTTCGTTCGTAAAACCGATGAATTTTGTCGTAAAAAACTAGTTGTAAAACTGTATAGACGTTCCGCTCCATTGTCCAGTTTCATAGGTGACCTGTTTTAGGTCGGCTACGTAGACTATCATCGGTCATTGACCCAAAGAATTACTAACACTAGTCAGTTAGCTCAACGAACAACTAGATTGTGGCAGCTCCTACATAGATCATCGGGTTACCATTGATCAAAATTTAAGGCTTAAGTGGCAATGCGATACTAGGATATAAAAGACGTTTTGAAGTACTTTAGATTGGATAGTAAATATGAGGTCAAGTGACGCAGCTTATTGCTTCGGAACGAGTTCATTTCGACTGGTTGGTAAAACACGCCAATTATTTGTTGTTCATCAATTGTCAACTTCTAATTGTGGAAGTCCAGTTTTTGATTGTCGGACAAAAGCGTGTGTACGGGATGTGAAAATAACACATAACTCGAGTAAGTCGGGGAAGCGTGAGTCGAGGGATACTCCACTTCGTAATCTAAATTAAAATGAAGTATATTAAAACATAACAAAATTTTCACACTTGAATGTAGTGTGATAATCTAAAATGGAAAACAAGTCACGAAACATAGGCAAATCTATATAATATATCAAAATGAATCCCTATTTCCCTTGGTCACGCCATCACGCGTGAACGGCTGGACCGATTTGGATGGTTCTTACGGAGAGAAATATTTAAAAATTGCCTGAAAAAGTCTAAAAACAACACTTTTCTATATACCCGTACAAAAGATTCGTAATAATACTTAAAAGTCAGTTTGAACTTTAATACCATACCATAAAGTTTAAGTAGTGTTAGTGAGTTGATGAGTTCCGGGAAGGCAAAACAAGTGAGTGTAAATGTAAACGTCTCTTTGCTGTGCATCACTATATAATATAAAACAAAGTTGTCCCACTGTCTGTCTGTCCCTATGTACGCTTAGATCTTTAAAACTAGGTTATGGATCTTGGTACGGTTTTTTTTACTAAACATAGTGATTCAAGAGGAAGGTTTATATGTATGTATTACTAAACATACATATAAACCATGTGCAATGTATTCATTGCACCCGTAAGAATCCGGGGCGGGTCGCTAGTGTTAAATAAAACTTATAATCATAATATATAAGACCGTAAATTAGAAGCACTAATGCATGCAAAAAAAACGGTCTATGGATTGTACTACTGACATTATCCAAAATTAACCAGAAAATAATTTTAATGAATGTATTAGATGACAAAATATATTTCATAAGAAATCTTGCCTTATTTATTATTTTTTTTACTATTTGGTCATATCATCATTAATATGTACATTATACATAACTTTTACTATAACATAAACTAAAACAAACAGAATATTTGCCACATCACAATCATGAGATAAAAATAACAATGTACAAAAAAGTAAAGTAAAATAACAGCCTGCATGTGACCCATTGCTCAGCAAAGGTCTCCTCTTTATGGGGAGTATTAGGGTACACTTATACTTGTCCCCTGTTAGGGTACACTCAGGTTTGTCATATATATTTGATACATATTTTTATATATGCAAGTTTCATCACAATGTTTTCCTTCACCTCTGAGCATGTGATAAAACAGCGCTTAAAATAACAGTTTCATTGGTGCCAGGTACACAGGGATTTGAATTTAGATTGATCAAGTATATTGATTGAAGCAGAGGTATAGAATGTTCATAATAGATATATAGTTTACACAGCTCCTAACATTATACAAACTATATTTGTTAATGGTTAAAGTAAATTTGCATATAAATGTTATTCATGACAGAATAACTATTGCTTAGTATACATTTTAAAAAAGATTAACTCAATAACACATTAATTTTCAGATACCTATAGCTGTAACTTTATATGTTATTAAATTTCCTAATTACATATTTTAAAATATATGAAATATTGACATGGAGATAAAGACAGGGATGGATTTTAAAAATAAAAACACTGAACTTACTTTCCAAAGCAGAAATATCCCATTAGCAAACCTATAACAAGGCATACAGAATGACGAAATTCTGGTGAAGCAAGTCGCAATGGTTTCCGAAATAATCTGGCCAGGCATAGTGCAGCTATTTGTGCGATCAAAAAATTAACCTAATGGAAGGAAAATATGGCATTATGATATTAATAAAATAAAGTGCTAATTATGAAGCTTCCTGATTGGTTGGATAATGTACTTTGCTCGAAATTTTAACTGATGACATCTTTGGTGTAGCTTCTTTGCTCTAGAAGATTCTATATTCTAGAAGATTCATCTAGATAGATGATAATTTAGTTATCTAATTGTAAACTAATGGACCAAATAAAATCATAAATGTAAAAAAAAAAAACAATAAATGGAAAATTAATTAAATACAATCATATAAGAATATATATCTACTATGAGCTATGTTTAAACTAAAAATATTGTGCGGAAAAAATTAAGCTTGAATCTATATTACACTATAACTAAAGTTATAATTCAAAGTTACCCAAGGGCAGGTTTAAAAAAGTGTAGATGTACTTACAAGATCTACAGGTAGACCAAGTCTAGTAGAAACGAAAACAAACACTTTACTACCATCATAGTAGTCGTAATATGTCGCTGGCATGCTTGAAGCAGCATATATTATCTGAAACAATACAAAAATTAATAGTTGATGATTCCTTAACTTTTTAAATGAACAAAACGTTTTATATTACTTACAATGGACTAAACAAATTTACACATTCACCTTTAATTCTTTACTTTATAATCTAAAGGCTCATAGCCTTGCTTCCCTTTACGATATATTACAAAATATACATCGCTGTTCGATGGTTACCAAAATATTTACACTACACAATTATCTAACTGCGACTACACGACACCATCATTCGAAAACGCCTGACACGAGCTAATGTATACTAACAAATTGTTAGTAACAATACATGCAATTACAAAGTTACAATACAACTACAACTATTACAATAAAACAGAGCTAAAAGCAGTGAGTATAGAGCTATGAAACTGACACTGACGTTTGACTCTGACCCTTTCATTAGTATTACTTTACTCTATGCCAAAGAGAATGTAATCACTACGAATTGATCCATCGACGCCTTCAAGGTGCGGCCATCACCATCGGTGACTGGTTTCGGCAATGGAGGATCGAGATTAATCCCGCCAAAAACGCGGCCGTCCTTTTTGCACATAAAAAGAATGTACCCAATCCACCCCCCGTTAAACTCATGGACAGCCCAGTACCATTAGTTAATAAAGTCAAATATCTAGGCGTCGTCCTCGACTTCCAGCTTAAATTCACCCAGCACGTGACCCAGGTCAGGAACCGGGCGGCCTTCGTACTCGGTCGCCTCTACCCGCTCCTCAATAAAACGCCAAAAATGTCCCTTCGGAGACGGTGACCTTATACAAGGCAGTAGTTCGCCCTATCATGACGTACGCGAACCCCGTCCTCGCTCACATTGCTCCGAAGCAAATACACCGGCTTCTGGTCATTCAGAATCGATTCTTGCCCAGAGCCACGGGAGCACCCTGGTTCACGCGCAATATCGACCTACATGTCGATCCAGAGTTGCCCACCATCGCGCAATTCCTGAAGTCGGCGTCGCACCGATATTCCGTACCGTCACCTAGTAGATGAGGCCTAAACAGGGCCATAGTCGCGCCGGGGTCGCGGAAGATTGCGTCCACGTGTTCCCGTGTCCCCGGCCGATGCGACAGAGACAGGTGCAACGTGGGTTTTTTAGTGGGAACCCATTGCTCACCGCAACTCCCACATACCCCTGCCGCTCCCCCGTTCCAGTGGTAGGGGATCTTTAAAGGATTTTCCCACGAAAAAAAAGGTACCGTCACCTACAGGCCCTTGCTGCTAGATACTTTCCGCCGCGATTACCGTAGACCGCTACACGTTCTCGACTTCCCTGACAATGAGACGACTATCACCATCGAAAGAATTAAAAAACTTAGGAAACACACCAACACACACCGCACTCGCCGGCGAGTGCGGCAAACATATACTAGGTTCCGCCACGTACCGGGCAGGTTTTCCCCCATTAATGATAGAAGCGTTGCTGGAGTTTCTTCCGCCACTTCTCCCAGCGCCAACGCTCTCCGAAGTGTAGTAATGTTACCTCTAGAAATTCCCCCAGTCAGATAATAGCTACCGATCGAGCTGAGGTCCGCCCCTTTTGGGCACCCTGGAATCGGAATGCTAAACGCGTGTTGAGTGACAGCCCAAGCCAAGGTCCCCTCTCGGGGACCCTTGAGCCTGATCACTCCATGGAGCGCCCGCCAAAGCGCCTTAAGAGCTTGGCGGCCTCCCAAACCGGTGATAATAATAGTGTGACGGCTCGAGCCGAGGCTCCCCCGGGAGCCCTCGAGTTTAGTCACCATAACGCGTAATAATAATACGCCGAGGTTCAGGCTAGGCGCCCCGTGAAATATAAAGGCCGACAGTGGCTCATCCAGCCTAAAAAAAAAAGAGGCCGTGGTACTTACCCGGACGAGCCTGCCCATTCGTCATCCGAGGCTGCTGCGTGGCTCTACCACCGTTAAAACGGTAACAGCAGGTACAGGAGGAGCTAGCAAAATTGAAGCGCATGCGTGCCTAGGTTTGACTCGGCAGCTACGAACTTCAATAAAACATATTTGAAAAACTTCAAGTTATATAGCGTGTCGTTACAACCGCGACAATAAATGAATACACGTCTAACGCCAAGCTTGATGATCTAGTTAATACAAATAATAAAACCGGTTGTAAGAAAACATTCAAAAAGTATGTACAATGATTTATTGCATAAGTTTCCACAGATATAACAGTAGAAAAGTAAAAGAGAATATATTATATTCCCTTTTATTTTGTTTTTTTTTTGTCAAATGTATGTAAGCACAACTTACAATAAAAAAAGTTGAATGACATAAAAATTTGCACAATGCATTCTTTTATCAATTATACAAACAAAAAAACTTTTAGCTATAAAACAAAAATTTTAGTTTAACAAATTCAATAACATTTTTTTTAGCTTTGGGGAACACAGATCTACTGGAGACTTTTCTTCTTTATTTTTTGTATCAATACTTGCACCTGCATTGACTAACATGCAAGCCACGGCTTCTCTATCTTCTTCACAAGCTAGGTGTCTGAAATAAATTTTATCCTTCCTGTCCTTTAATCAGTTTAGTCATACAGCACTGTATATCAAATACAGCGTGTCGTTAACATCGCGACATTAAATGAACACGCATATAGGGGATAACTTTTCAAAGTTGTATTAAACATTTAAATTCTTTAAACATCAATATTTATAGAGTTATTAAATTTTCCAAAACAAAGAATTTTAGAACATCCTTACCTATAAAAGCATAACGTAAAGTTCATTTGTAAAGGTCACGCAAGGTATGCAAGCATATGAATGGGTTGAATGAATTTAAAAGAGACAAAACATACTGTTAGAAGGAGAGGCTTGTAATACGACGCTGTGACGCGAGTTGTATAGGATGTTACAAATTTTGTTTCTTTTTTACTTAATTAGTTTGTTTGAAAAATATTTTTTTTTAATTATGGATTTTGTTTAACGTTAATATTTTTTTATGATTATTGGCAAGTAGCACTAGACGTGTGATCATTTATTGTCGCGATGGTAACGACACACTGTATATAAATGGCTAACATTACATCTATAACTAATATTGGCTGAATAACACACCTATTTACATTCAAAACTTTAGAATTTCTTTATTTATATGTTATTTAGTACATAGACTAAGTTTCGTATGATATTTGGCAATCATAAGTCTTTAGATTCTTAATTCTGTGGATCACCATAGTGACACAATATTTTGTATCTTGATCCAAAGAAGGAAAAGAGGTAATAGAACTAAAAGAATGAACTAGTTCACTGTCCGAAATGAACTAGTTCAGTTCGCTCTTCTAAAGAACGCAAGACAACACAAGGAGTAAAAAAATAAAGGGAGCAATTTTATAGATGGAGGTTCAATTAGAAGAACTAAATTTTAATGTTGTACATATACTTACAGGGGTGTACATCCTGTAGAATCACAAGTGTCCACTTTAATTAATGGATCTTCTATTAGAATTTCCACTATATTACTTCTTCCTTGTGATGCTGCCCTATGTAAAGGTGTTGCGCCTAACACATCACCTTCATTTATTCGAGCATCCGAGTCAATTAACAGCTTTGCAATCTATAACAATTAAGATGAAAATTTTAGTTCAGTTAAAAAAATATATACAAATTAAGTAGGAACAAACCTCTTTATGTCCTTTAGAACATGCATAGTGAAGTGGTGTTTGACCTCTATACGTTTTATGGTTGACATTTGCACCCCTATCAATAAGCAACTTAACTACATTATACTTTCCAGCTGAAGCTGCTAATATAATGGGACTGCTATTAGTGTCATCAACAGGGTCGAGAGGAGAACCTAAGTTTATTAATAAGTCAACTAAATTCTCATTGCCTCCTAATGCAGCCCAATGAATAAGAAGCCGGCCATTCTGCAAAAAAGTAGAATTCAAGGTTAAAATATAGATGGTGTTAGGTAATATAAAAATTATAGATAAAATATTTGAATAGTAGAAACGTTTCATGCACAGGTAAAATTTTAAAATATTACCGAGTCATTTGTATGTATTAATGATTTATCTTCATCAATTTTAACTTTGACTTGATTATAATCACCTCTATAAGCTTTTTCAAATACAGTACCAATAGACATTTTAAGTGGTATTAAAAATACTTTGAAGTCTTCTACTGAAAAAGAACTCGTCAACTTTGAAAAAGAACTCGTCAACTTTGAAAAAGAACTCGTCAACTTTGAAAAAGAAAACTTAAATAATATGATCAATGTAAACATTTATTTCAAATATCATGTATGTAAATTGAAATGACAACAACAACAAAGAGAATGTAATCAATACATTTGACAACAATTCGAAACGAAACTTCGAATAATTAGTGATAGGATGGAGAAAAAATATCGATATACCGATATTTTTGGCCGATATATTTTGATCCGATATATCGATATAAGAAATTGAATATCGAAATCGTATCAAAAATGATATTTCTATTCAAACTGATTCAAAGTTCCGTAAAAGATAAAAATGAACGGAAAAACTGTGGTCTATTACTAGTATTGTCACGAATGCAGAGTTGCACTTTGTACTATAATTATGGTATTTACACTACAATTTTATGCTTCGTACTATCCATAGGTACAACATGGTAAAGAGGTGTTACAAATCAATAATATTTAACTACATATTATGTTTATTTATAAATAGAATGCAAAATATCAATGGCATCAACTCAAGTTACTTTAATTTAATATGTAAATAAAGTTAAATGTCACATAATATAATATCGAGTTTTCATTTAAAAAAAAAACTCTTTGACGTCATAAAAGTTATTATCATTTAACCACATCAGTAACTTAAATAATTGTCGTTCAGCTATTACTAAATTCTGTTGATCTAGGCCTGTCTTTTAGGACAAGTCTCTGTTTTTCGTTTTTCAGTTTTTCTCTGACAAGTCGGGTTTCTTTTTGACCCATTACTAACTTCGTTTTCAACAATCCTTTGTTTTTGACATAGTTACATGTTTTTCATTACATATTTTTTGATTCGATTCAGGGCTAAAGAAACTGATTTATCTTACTAAATAAGCTGTTTGTTTTTTTTCCAATGATGGTCTTGATAAATAACATACCTAGAAATTTAGATTAATAACAGAAATTTGATTAAAATTAATAAAAAATTGTTATATTAAAATATCTACTTCATTTAAATAATGTGAATTTAGTATAAAAATTACTATTACTTATCGTTGAATCAGACTGAACTAAATACATTATTTTTTTAAAACTGAAAATTTGATCGATATATCGATATTTTTTTTCGATATATCGAGGCTGATATTGATATTTTTATAAATATAGATATATAAAGGTATCAACATCAGTGGTGTCTTCTTGTCACACCTTCGCTTTGCGTATGACTTGATCCTGTTCAGTGAGCGGATGCAAGATCTCCAAGAAATGTTACAACAACTTTATGATGCTTCTCTAACGGTGGGCCTCAAGGTGAATATGTCCAAGACGAAGGTGATGTCCAATATGACCGGTGACTCGCAAGTGGGTATTACCGTCGGTGCAGATTCATTAGAGTTTGTCGAACACTATATATATCTTGGACACTATTTGTCATTTGCCAGAGAACATCGTGATAAAGAGGTCTCTCGCCGCATTCATTTAGGTTGGGCGGCCTTTGATAAGCTCAAAGACGTACTTAAGGACTGCAAAATACAACAATGCTTGAAAACCAAGATCTATAATCAATGTGTTCTGCCCACCATGACCTATGGTTCCGAGACATGGAAGATCACAAAAGAGACAGTGCACAGAATGCGAGTCGCACACTGAACTATGGAGCGTTCCATGCTGGGTATCAGGTTAAGAGATCGCATCCGCAATAGAGAAAGCCGTCGTAGGACGAAGGTCTGCAACGTAGGTGAACGGATAAAACGGCTCAAATGGCGCTGGGCAGTTCACATTGCTAGACATGGTAATAGCAGGTGGAGTAAAACGTTAACCGAATGGACACCTCGAGAAGGAAGGCGTGGCGTCGGTAGACCACCTGGCCGATGGGTCGACGATATCAAAGCGATCGCAGGAAAAACATGGATGCGATACGCTCAAGACAGGGAAGAATGGCGCAAGAGGGAGGAGGCCTATGCCCAGCAGTGAGCTGATACGGGCTGACGATGATGATGAGATATATCGATATTTTTTTCGAATTTCGGCTTCGGCATCATAATTAGCCTTCGTCATGCATCTATTTTGTTTATTAGTTTAACGGCCCTGGAATCAGGTCCTTTAGGCCTATCTTACATATACTTAAAAACTACTTTAACAAGTTACCTATACCTATTGTAATAACAATGAATTTATATATAAACTTATAATATTTGGGTTTCTGAGAAGTTTTGGCACATCACAAAATACTTGTGTATTTATATTTTCTAGTTCAGACACCAAGATTAATCGAAGACAATTATAATTTTGTCATTTCATGAAAATATGGTTTAGGTCAGCAACATCATTAACATCAAAAAGTACATTTTGGGTTTGCGACAATTTTGAGTCTTATTAAATGTGCAGGAATTCTACAGTGCACTGTGGTTCCATAGTAAAACAAAAATCGTCCAAGGTCACTCTGCGATTCAATGAAAGTAGTTATCATTATAACACTTACAAAGTCTGAACTTGGTATAAATTAAATTCACCCAGCTAATTACTTTCATTACCATTTCATCATCGAAAATGTGAATAACCGGTAAAATAAATTAAATTGATCTGGAAGATAATATTGTTATTTTATTAACATTCAACCAATATTCGGAAAATAGTAAAGTTTACAGAATATTAGTACCAGAAACGCGTTACGTAATTGTACGGAGATATGTAAAATTATAAGTAAAATAAAAATAAAATTGACAAATCAGAAAACAAGAATGAAAAGAAGTTAATTGATATATTTGTCGATAGTAAAAAAGAAAATAATGAAGTACTTATATCAACAACCAGAAGATTGTGAAATATTCGCTGATATTCACATTGTGAATATCAGCGAAGATCATGACGAAAACGAATTGCAAAATGAATTGTAATAAAACAATGAAAACATTTTTGATCATAATGAAGTAAATGAGAATGAGGCAATAAAAACTGATGATAATTATGTTGCAGATCGCAATGAAGTAAGAGACGTTGAGGCAATAGAAAGAAATGATATTTTAGAGAATGAAAGATCGCAAAGGACTTGAAAACCACCAGTTTGGACAAAAGATTACATATGTACAGTTTGCATGAACGAAGAAGATGATCTAAAATGGAATGTTGCAATAATTACTGAAATAACAGCACACTTAAAAAATTATACCACCTCACAGAAACGTCATTGACAGCAAGATAATTCTGAAAGATAAATTAGGAACAGGTGGCAATATTGTACGCAAAAAGACTTTACTTTAAGAGAAGAGAATTTTCACAAATACCCGGTGTTGACTATCAGGAAGTTTTCGCACCTGTGACTCGACTAAGTTCAAAAAGATTATTAGTGGCTTTAGCTGTACAGAAAGATATGCATTTGAACCAGATTGATATTTTTAAACGGAGATATTGTAGAAGAAATCTATATGAAAAAGCCGAAAAATAAAGAAGAATATTTAGAAAAGATAATTAAATCTACAAAGATGCAGAAATTAAACAAAAAGCTAAAAATGCTACATGATTTAAACCAAGATAAAGAAAACGGCAAGCGCAGTGTAGGAAGGCCTCCCACAAGGTGGACGGACGACGTAGCTAAGATCGCAGGGACGCGTTGGATGCAGGCCGCTAACGACCGGTCGAAGTGGAAGTCAATGGGGGAGGCCTATGTTCAGCAGTGGACACCCTACGGCTGATATGATGATGATGATAAAAAAAACACAATATGCAAATTAAATAAAGCCGTCTATGGATTAAAACAGTCAGGAAGACAGTGGTACAAGAAACTAGATGCTGAATTAAAAAGAGGCAAATGTGCGATTTTGGTTCAAGATTAGATTACGTTTTTCTTTAATTTTCTTTATTTTTATAGGATAGTCTCGAGAAATTGCGAGGTGAGACCCACCACAATTAATACACATCAAAGTATGTACATTCCTTGTAGAAGTGGTCTCCAGCACATGAAGAGCACATTTATGTCCCACGAAAGACTTTAGCTGAATGGTTAAGCTTCAAGCATTTGTAACATTGCACAAGGGCTGGAATAAATGTTGACACCTGGTACCTGAACAAATTCAAGCATACAAACTTGGGCAAAGTAGACGATGAAAATGTGATTGCCACTGTGGTCATAGGTTTCAGCTTTTTGTTTTCATCTCTCTTCTTGAATCGCTTGACAGAGATAACATCTGCATCAGAGCTTATGTTTTTGTAAATTTCCTCATTAAACATTTCGGTAGGAACATATTTGGTTATGCCTACTTTCTCCACCAAATGGGCGGGGATGAAAGCTCTCAATTGATGTGTTGCTAAGAAGTTGTTTAATCTTAAAAAAACTATTGGCTGCAGCAGCCTTTTGGAATGAAATTCCAATTTTGTATCCATTGATTCGATATACACTTGTAATGTCTTGAACGTTATCCGTAAAAAGTTGGGTCAATTTAATGTGATTTTTGTTGCCCACTTTCTCCCTTTCTTTTGACTCAGCATATACTATATATTCAGTGTTGGAATTGTTCTCTAGGAACATCCTGGTATTATAACTTTTCAAATAAATTTTGTACTTCTCTTCATCTTTTGTTGTCGTCGTCTGCTTGTATTTTCTTTTCCGCTATATAGGACACTTTCCCAACGTGTCCTCACCATTGCTTTGCGTCCCTATCTTGAATCGACGGGGAGGAAACTCAGAAAATTAGATGTTTACTGTTGCTAACTTTGACTAATAATTTAATAATTTTTGACAATTAAAATAAACGAAGAAAAACTGTAAGCACCCACTCAATTTGACTTCCCGCCAAAAAGTCCATGCTTGCTCTATGCATGCCAGTGCTGCCATCACGGTTGGATTAAGGATTTAGGTAAAATGATAAAAATAGTTTTTTTTAATAAAGATTTTATCATTTATGGCCTGGTTACTAGATCTTTAAGCCAAAAAAGATAGTAATTACAATAGTGCTAATAGAGATTTTTGATGTCGGTTCTCTTTTTATTTTTAGAGATTTAATTTTAATTTTTAGGTATTGTAAAATATCGGTAGACCTAGCCAAGACCCTGCTCGTATGAGGCAACGCCAAACTGATACCGGGACTGAAAAAGGAAAACGATTAAAAGCAAATTATCATCATTCTGCTGCCGTTATCTCACTTAGGTGGGACCGGCACAACATGCGAATCATGTTGAAATTGGTTTTGGCTATATTTTTACGACCGGCCATCTGCCTAACGCCAACCTTCCTTGGGAAACAAATACCCAGATCCGGAACAATTATTTGTGGTTCACACTAATAGTTTAATTCGAACCCCCGACTCCTGACGCCGAAACCAATATCTTAGCCACAGTAACACAGAGACATCGATTAAAACGATTTCGCATACATTATATATACATTATACATTATAAACGCATTTCTAATGAGAGACCGGTCCAGCGCGAAATTAGAAAGTTAAAAATAATCCTATATGTAACATAGTTTAAATGACGAAAATTACAAGAACACCGACCCTTCTGAAAAACAAAACAGATGGATGGCTTACTCTAAGAAGGACAGTGTGTGAGCCAAAGACCTTACACTTAATAACTTCCTATGTATAGGATTTTTGGTGAATGGTGGGAGCCCTGTGAGTAGGGATGAGGCGTATATACTGGAACAGGTATAAATACCCAGTATGAACATACCAGTACACACACCGGGTATGTACGGCAGAGGCCCGTTCCATACCCGATAGGTATGGCCGCCTCGTCTGACGGTGGCGGTATATATATTCATAATATTTTAAATTTAATAACTAATATAAAATGTCAAATGGTGAGAAAATTGCCATCGGATATGTTCAGAAATATGCAGCTAAGTGAGAAAAAGACAATGAATTTAAAGGTACGTATGTTTCATTCAGATCTTTTATAATTAAATGATATTTATTCCCATTATTTATTGTCTGGTTCTTAAAAGTAATTTATATGATTATAACGTCACAATAAAATGTACTTAATTTGTATAAATATTTTTCAAGTCAATGAACACTGTTCAAGGTCAAGTATATTAATTAAGTTAATTTTTGAATAAAACAGTTTTAATTACACAGATAATTAAATTTTCCGATAATTATTCTAGCTTGTTAATTTAAAAAAAGGTGACTTTTTTACTTAGGAAGTTTTTTTTGAAACAGTGGATTTTAGGAGGTTTTTGAATTGCTTTACTAGTTTTTTATTCTTGAATTGCTTTACTAGTTTTTTTCTTCAACAGTTGATAACACTGAACTGTGGCATTTATTTTATTCGGTTATCTTTCATTTAGTCATCATTTTGTTTTGTTATACTGTGTAGTTGAATATAGCTCTCGAATAATTTTATACATTTGAACTTGTAGTTCGGTCCCGCATCAAGAGATGGCGCTGTCTCACGAGGAGACTGATGACTATATTATTAATGTACTCTTTGGTTATAATATGTACCTTTTGGAGTGACAGCAAACAGAATATAACCTAGGGATGCCGAAAGTCGAAAAAAATACCGATGTATCGATATATCGATGTTTATAAAAATATCAATATCGGCCTCGATAAATCGAAAAAAAAAATCGATATATCGGTCAAATTTTCAGTTTAAAAAATTTATGTATTTAGTTCAGTCTAATTCGGTAATAATAATCAATAATAGTAATTTTTATACTGAATTCACATTATTTAAATGAATGAGAAATTTTAGTAAAACGTTAATTATTTATTACTTTTAATCAAATTTCTTTTATTAATCTAAATTTATCGATATGTTATATATCAAGACCTTCATTAAAAAAAACAAACAGCTTATTTAGTAAGATAAATCAGTTTCTTTAGTGCTCGAATCAAATCAAAAATGTACTTATTAAAACAAACGTAACTTTGTAAAAGAACGTAAAGAATTGTTTAAAACGAAGTTAATAATTGGTAAAAAAGAAACCCACTGGGACTTGTCCTAAAAGATAGGTCTAGATCCACAGAATTTAGTAATAGTTGTTTGGTTGATAATTTAGAGAAGTTTTGCGAAGAATTTTTCTAAGTGGTTAATTGGTAATAATTTTGACGTCAAATATTTTTTTATGAAGACTCGATATAATAAAATGTGACATTGAATTATTGAGAATTTGATTATAATTAAATTTTTGTTAACTTTATTTACATATTAAATTAAAGTAAGTTTAGTTGATGCCATTAACATTTTGCATGCTATTTATAAATTAACATAATAAGTAGTTAAATATTTATGATTTGTAACACCTCTATTATATGTTGTACCTAAGATATGGATAGTATAAAGTACGAAGCATTAAATTGTTCTATAAATACCATAATTAAAGTACAAAATGCAACTCTACATCTGCGACAATACTAGTATAGACCACAGTATTTTCCGTTCATTTTTATCTTGTACGGCTTTGACTCAGTTTGAATAAAAATATCGTTGTTGATACGATTTCAATATTCAATTTTTTATATCGATATATCGGAATAAAGTATATCGGCCAAAAATATCGATATAATAAAAAAAAAATATCGAATTTTCGATATTTTTCGGCATCCCTAACATAACCCCTTTACTTCTTAGAGATAATAGACCCTGTGTATATAGTACATTAAATAAATTTATTATAAATAATAAGATTAGATTGTAGTTTAATATTACTTGTTTTTATTTTGTTGTATATTATTTTTTCTGTATTTTGTTTGTTATATGAAATTATTCTGATTTGGTTTTGTTTAATTCCCGGTACGGTTTTTAATTATTTTAATTCGCGTTATACGTTTCCCTCGCTTTGTTGAAAGAATGTAAAATACTTGACACTGGCTTAATGCACGAATGGTTCCGAGCCATAATTAAAAAAAAAAAAAAAATGAACATAACCCTATCACTACACTATTTATAGAGAGTGACAGTTGTATTTAAACTGTGTTGACAGACGTTATTACTTATTTAATAATAACTTATATTTATTGATGTTGTTGTTTTTGTTTTAAATTAGTTAAATACTCTTAAAACATATATAGTTTCTTTCTATAGTTTTTAGAAATCTGATGTATTGTGATTATTCATTGATTTAATAATGGATACCTATCTTAATTTTATTGATCTTTCATCAAATTATTACTTTGCCGTAGGCGGTTTATTCTTGAGTTATATAATTTATAGAATATTTCATTCCTTATTAAATGATAATAATTTCATGCAAATTATATATAAATCTCGTGGGCATACTTGGCGGAGTATAGATTGTAACAAATCGTTACCATTTAATATTTATGTAAGTGCAGTTTGTATATAATTTTATTTTTCATAATGCTTCAATCTATTTGTTTTCATATTAGAATTGATTCAAATGAAGATTCATAATTTTCAGTGCTCTGTTTGCAATGAGCTTATGTTGCCTTTAGTTGGACTTTTTTGTGAGTGTTGTGCAGCTAGTGCTTGCAAGAAATGCAACAGAGTTTTAGACAAAAAATTAAAATGTAAGCAAATCACATGGCCAAGTGATAAACCGTTTTATCATCAATGGGTTAATAGTAAGTATTACAATTTTTTGAAAAGTTAAATTCTTGGTTGCCTCACCAATTATATTTTCAAAATCTTATTGTAATGTAAATATTTATAGTAGGTACAGCAAATGGGAAAGATGGAGACCATAATGAAGAGAATCTAAAAAAGATATTTTGTTCTTGGTGTCAGCGTATTAAAATAGTAAAAGAAAATGAACTCAGAAAAAATGATGTAAGGGATACAACATTAAATAGAATACACTCGATTTTTTAACTAATTTGTTGTATTTATGAATCTTTGATTTTAGCTATGTGATTTTAACAAGTACAAAAAAATTATAATTCCCCCAACTTGTGTGGAAGTAGAAAAAGGTTTAATAAGTTATATCAAGTCACCACTGGAAGATGATTGGGAACCGCTCATTATATTTGGTAATAAATCATTTTAACTTCCCTGCAATAATAAAATTCAAATTTTAATCACAAGAGTTCATTGTGGTGATTTCTTTAAGCTAAGCATGCTTTAAGCAAAATACTAGTTCACCAGATGATGAGTCATTCACCCTGCCTAATGATATCTACAGCAACTTATCTAAAAAATAGAGGCTTCAGGTACCTCACTCACCAGAAAAAAGGTAAAAGTATGCCACTTCCACTTTATGGCAGGAGCATGAGGAGAGAGGCATATTTAGGCACAGCTGGCACTGTGAAGGTGGTACAGGTCCTACAGGACTTGTAAGACTTTTCTTAGGAGTTGGACCGATGGCTCAAAAAGGCCTTGAGCTATATATCTACCACTGCGGGGATGGGGCTATCTAAGCCATACAAAGGAGGGGAAGCGTAATTTTTATATTTTTTCATATAGAATGTGAATGGAATGAATTTAAGAATTTTAAAACCAGATTATACTTTATTTCACTTTTCAGCTAACAGAAAATCTGGAAGCAGTAGAAGTGATGAAGTACTATCAATATTTCGCGGCCTACTTAATCCAATACAGGTAAATTTATGTATTGACCAGTAATGTATTCTTGGCAGTTTTTATTTTTGTTGTTTCATTAATTCTCTCCGTAACACCTGTAATGCTCATTGTTTATTAGCGAACGAAATAAGTGAAGACAAAAATTTGGATATTTTTTTATGTTAAAGGTAGGCAAGTACGCAGTCAGTTCACTTGATGTTAAGTGACTCCACTTATAAACCTCTATAACACCTGGATGGTAGCAGATGCATTGCAAACCTTTTAAATTAGTGGGCCCCGGTTACCTCACTCACCAGCCGAAACGCAGCAGTATAATAGGTACTTCCACTTAACGCTGGTCTTCTGTGAAGGCCTCACAGAAGACCAGCACGACGGACCCGTACATTCGTGCAATAGCAGATGCTGTTGTGAAGTCCTACTACAGTGAAACTTCTCTTGGGTTAAAGACTAACAATTCCGTCTTTGAAAGGCGTTTCTCTGTCCCCGATTTGATCGTCTGAGGTGTTCAATTTTCAGTAATCCTTTTCTGGTGTAGGTATGTGAAATTTACCAGAGATTTTAAATTATATTTTTAAACTAAGTCCACATGAGCTCACAATACATCGGGCATGATAAATTATTTCTAACTTGTCAGTCATATCGTTCACGAGACCCAGCGATGCCGAACGTCGCCGCGCGTTTATTTTGCTTGCTCTATAAATCTATTGAATAGACTCGATCAGATAATCTTTACCCAACTGTTTCGACCTCTAATTATTCGCATTGATTTCCGATTTCTTCTATTTGCAGGTGATTGACTTAAGTGCTATTTCCGCCGGAGAACGTGATAAAATGGCTGCCGGGCCGGTGTCGCTTTCTCGTCGCCGGCGGGGACGGTACCGTCGCATGGGTCCTCAACGCGTTGCAGGCCGCGCCGCACATTAGAGTGTGTATTGGTGTAATGTTTATATTTCCTCTAAGATATCATTTAGATATTTATTTTTTTAATTAGATACACGTACATAACGTATAATCAACAAATACGTGATTTAATTCTTTTCCAAGTCGGGAGAGTTGGGAAACATCGCATTTAGACACGGCTGGGCTTCATCGTGATACATCATATTATCGGCAATCCACGTATGTCGAATACTTTTATGCTTACTCTTGAGTATAGTAAAGGAGTGGAATGATCTGCTTTCATTTGCCCTTCTCTCTTATTACAATGTAGGATTCAAAGCAAGACTGAATAGGTTACTACTAAATCAGTGTTTTATTACCAACGAGTGGCCAAGTGTTGATACCAACAAATGGGATGGTATAATAAAGTATAAATAAAAGCGCCAGCCAGTCCTTGATAAAATATTTCAGTGTTTCAATTTCTGTTGAAAAATAGCATCTTCAAAGCAAGAGTGAATAGGTTTTTACTGAGCTTGCGCGCTTACCATCAAAGGCTGCATCGCCACTTACCATCAGGTGGGATGGCAGTTAAGTGCTGGCCAGTTCTAAATAAAAAAAAAAAAAGATTGACGACTCGATTAGCCTAAGAGGCAATGACCCTGCCTCTTGCGTCTCAAGGTGTTAGTTCGATCCCCACTACTGGAAAAATATTGTCAATTCAAATCAAATCAAAAATATATTTGTTTAAATAGAAGCTAACGCGTTCTTATGAATCATCAAATTTTACATAAAAATTATATACACATATAGGTTCGTAAGGTACCACCGGTTCGGAAAGCAGTTTCTGTTGAGAAGAGACCGACAAGAAACTGCATAACATTCAGGTGTAATAGTCTTAATCTAGCCTATACGTGAGTATCAACAGTATTAACTCCACACATTGGTGTCGAGATAATCGGCAATGGTATAATACGCTTTAACCATAAGTTGACTTTTAATTTTAAGTTTAAATTGATCAATCGGCACACTTAATATCCACTGTGGGATTTTATTATACATGCGCACACTTCGCCCCATGAACGATCCATGTACTTTTTGAAGACGAAACAATGGCGTGGTAGGTAAGTTTGTCCATTGTGTGATGATCATAGTATCTTTACAGTGCCTGGGTGTGTATATAATTATAATATGTATTTCTTTACAAAAGAAAAGTGTGTTTATCAGTTATCTAGTAGTAAGTACCCATAGTGCTCAAGTGTTCTCCTTAGTTTGGGACTAGGAAACGTAATTAAATGATCGCAAAATGACAAAAATCGAAATTCGCAATAAATCTTTTCCGTTATACTGATTCTTATGATGTTAATGTTCATGTGACAGGCATCCGTTGGCATTCTGCCCATGGGCACGGGCAACGACCTCTCACGCGTTTTGGGCTGGGGTCCGGGTTGCAATTCACACCTCGATGCACATTCCATTATAAAGTCAATACGTCAAGCTGAAGAGCAGCCATTAGACAGGTAAAAACTTTTTTCCATCACCATAATAGACGATATGAATTGTTGAACATTAGCGACGTTTCTCCCATACGAGCTGAGTTCCGCATTTTCCTTAAGATGGAAGGTAACGATAAAAGGGAAGCGGGGGCGATTGCGGCGTTGCCGCCCCGACCGCGTCCTCTACGCTTACAACTACGCGAGCGTCGGCGTGGACGCCCAGGTGGCGCTGGACTTCCACCGCGCCCGCGCCCAGTTCCTCTACCGCTTCGCCAGCCGCACCCTCAACTACGTGAGTTAGCTAATGATCGCGACGACGGTCCAGTTGTGGTACAGTCGCGCGAGAAATGCCCCCGAGTTGCCGGTCAGAAGTTGACCTCGCGCAGGTACAGTAACTTGGAAAGCGTCGTACAGCGTGCAAACAAAACTAAAATCAAATGATAACTAAAGACTTCGACAATTTGCGAGTGAATTTCCGAGTGAACTCATTTTCAACGATCGATTAGTCTGTCTAGCATGCTTGACAGCGTTGTTAAGTATTTACTATCGACAATCGAATATATTAAAGTATAGTGCGTTCCGATTACGACGACCTTTTCAATTATTACAATACAACACATGTGAAGAGATTCTTTTTCCGCATATACTACTGTCAGGTCGCGTATTTGTTCCTGGGCGTGGGCCGCGCGTTGGACGACGGCGGGTGCCACGGCCTGGAGCGGCGGTTGCGCGTGTTCCTGGACGGGCAGAGCGAGCCGATGGCGCTGCCGCCGCTGCAGGCGCTGGTGCTCCTCAACATACAGTCGTGGGGAGCTGGCGTGCACCTTTGGAGTAAGGGAAAGTGGCAGACGAGCTGGCGGTTCACCTAATGTTAAGTGATTACCGCCGGCCCAAGGACCCTTGCAACACCCGTAGGGTTGCAGGTGCATTGCCGCATCTTAATAAAGTGGGCCACGGCTACCTCACGAACCAGACGAAACGCAGAAGTGGTACAATTCTACTTCACGCCGGTCCTCTGTGAGGTCCGGGTTAGTATCACGATACCAACCCGACGGATCTGCCCATTCGTGCATCAGCGAACACTTGCGTGGTCCTACAACCGTCAAGTGCTCACTGTCGATTTTAATTACTTAATTACTAATTTACTTCCAGGCATGGGGAATGAAGGCGAAGTACCCGAGCAGAGCGTCAACGACGGAAAACTCGAGGTCAGAGTTTTTTGTCAAATATTATTTATTGAAAAAAAAAAGCTTTCTCTTGCTTTTAGTAAAATAATAAAAGCGCATTCCTATTTTGGACCGAATTCAAAATAGGTTACTTTATTTATATATGCCTACATTAGCTGTCCCGACAGATGTTGTCCTGCACGGCTCAAATCCGACAAGAACTTAAAATAAATAGAGAGGGTATACAAATTATATTTATATAATGCAAATTAGCAGAGCTATCATAATTTTCGCCGACGACTTTGCGAGCGAAGTGCTTGTAGAAAGATATATTAAAGCTGGACTGTCCAGTTCTGTTCTCCCATTTAACTGTCTGAGTGGCTTACCGTTATTTACATGTAATGTAATTACATTCATAATCTGTGTAAAAATTTTCAGCTTTAGTGAATTCATTTCATTAGCAACGCTATGATAACACTTTTGATATGAGACGCCTGTTGTACAGTTCGTCTGAACGAAAACAGTTTGTTTGTGTACACTACTATAACCAAATGGCAGAAAATCAGAGTATTTTTTGCCCTGGCTTCGTTTGTGGTGAACGGAGAAAACTCCATGACAACCGTAGACAAATATATCTATTACTATCTGATGTTCGAATATAAAATAGGTGGTGGGAATTTCATCGTCCTTCCATATCGCACGACTACAGGTCGGTCTTGCGGAGCCGTATCGTTTTGCTCAAACCTCACGAATCAAGGTATGTTTTCATAATCTACGTCTATCTTTATTTTCGTATATTATATTTGGGTCGTTACACAAAGAGGATATAGGTCATTCTTCATTTTCATCAACAAATTATAAGTCTCTTGCAAAAGGCCTTTAAAATTTTCCTTTTTTAATTTTGTGTTTTACCAACACAGTCATTAAAATCTTAATTATTATATCGAGCTAAGTATTGCTTTGATAAATCTAAAAATTGTTCGCACAGATTAATAGACACTAAAAACAAACATATAACAATGGTATTGCCTTAAACTTAAAAAGCATATTGAATTATAGAAAGAGAACCAGCATTTAACTTTGAAAAGGTGAAACTTATTAATTTGTGATTGTTTTTTTAGTGCTAGCCTGTAGTAAGAAGAAGCTCTAAGTGTACGAAAATTCACTTAAAATGTAGATAGATTATATAGATTTGATTTATATTTTTTTATATATTTATATCCATTTTGATAGATTGTCGAAAAATTAAAAAAGTTTTCGCCGCGACCAGGTTCGAACCTACATAATGTATATTCTCAGAATAGCGCACTCAGACGCTCTAGCCAAGTTAGCTAAGCGGCTGATATCCACAGAGCGCGAAAATCTTTGCATCTGTGTACTTTTCGCATATTTAGCAATGCTTGGCACCACCTACTGTGTATACCTAGTTCATTTAGAGTAAGCCAAAAGTATTCAATTCAAATATTATTTGACAGCGAATATTTGTACGAGAAATGTTGCCTTTGCTATTGAAATGAATGATTATTTTAATTTTAAATTAATTTTACATTTAAAGATAGTTGTGGATAGAATATTTTCGCGTCTTCTTAATATTCCTTTAAGACTGGCGTACTGGCGAATTTTATAATTTAATCCCGTAAAGTAATGTGTTTAGGTATTTATACTAATATTATAAATTGTAACATTAAACTCTATTTCGCTTTTTTATTTTAAAATCAATATGTAAGTATAATACTTTTAGAAGTAACTTAATGAAAGCACAATTATTTTCAGATTGAATTGTCTGGATCTTGTGCGATGCAAGTAGACGGCGAGCCGTGGATGCAGTCAGCGGCGGTTATTACCATGGAACCAGACGGCCAATGTCTTATGCTCAAAGCAGCCAAAGACGCTAGTAATGCTAACTGACGTGAATGACAATGATCTGATTAATCTGAATAATTAATATTAGTAGTAAGAACTGTACCTAACACAACCGATTTGACTGGAATTGAAACTGGTATTTATTTATTATAATATAACAGACCAAATGAAACCAAAGAGTTGTATGTAAGTTTTACGACTGTAATGGGTCATCTGTTAGTTACTCGATGCGATTTTTTGATCCCCGAAAGGTCGAGAAGGGGCGAAAGGGCGAGCATTTCGTGAGATAATTTATTCATCCCCTAATCTCACGTGAGATTTTCCAAAACTCAAGTTTTAATGTTAAAACATACTTTTCTTTTGATTTAAGTCCACAAGATTTCTTTCCGTCAAACCTGCGCAGTTTCTGCAATATTTTCTATCGTAATGTCTTATTCCGGAGATGGAGGCACAGCGGATGGTGTGGACTCTAACGTGACTCCATCCTCATCGTCGCTGATCACAGGCGGCTGAGTTTTCCGGTAGCATTCGTCGTGTCACGCGTTTGGCTAGCCGGTAACTAAAACATAAGACTACCGTGCTGTTAACAATGCGTCGTTCGAATTATCATTATTTGATTCTCTTTTAATCCCCTGCTGGACATTCTGGACGCGCAACTGGGTACTACGCTACATATGTAAAAAAAAATATTACGAATGATTTACTCAATTATTTCGCAAATTTCCACTTTTTCTTTCAAAACAAAATTACGTGATATTTGGCGAGATTGATACCTTTCTCCCACGTGAGATTGGTTGAGATTTGGCCCGACCTCACGTAGTAAATGGATGCCCTTAACGCTATTATAGTGATGTTATCGCTGACTGTTATTCTATAATAAATTTAATTAATACAGGTCGCGCAAATAATGTTCCTCATGGACTTTGTAAATTTAATAACTTTTGAAAAAAAAAATTAGTAAATTAGTATGGGGTTTAATTAGTATGTTAAAAGTGTACAGTATGTACCATGTGTTTTATTGTAAATGAGTAAAGAAGACTTGTTTAGTTGTATAAACTTTATTTGATCACTTACATGATATGCACGTTGGGCGTTGACAAGAATAAGAAGGAAGTAATATCTATGAACGACCCAATATATAGTAATAATCATAGACAATAATGTTACATGCCCCTTTTTTACAAATGAAAATAACTATCGTTGACATTTGACAATGACAAGTAATTTGTTTGTTTGTTAACAATTTTTAAAAACAATTAAATTAACAATCAAAGCTTAAGACTAATGAAATGAGGGAAATATCTTTTATTGACTAACATATAGTTTTAATTTTTAAATACATTTCTCTAAAAGTGAAATGAATGTGACAATCTTATACAATGAAATACAATGAAGTGTTTACAAACTTATTCTTATAACTTTGAACTAAAATACAAATTATAAATATAACACATTTCTTTTCTTTATTAATCTTCCTCGACTACTATACTTAGGTGGCTGAGTATTACTATGATTTACATTTTCTTTTGACTTAAAATAACTTGTTACAATCATACTATCATCCTCTTTATCTAACAAAGAATTATTTGACATATTAATATTACTAGGCTTAGTGTGATTGTCTGACTCTGATGGTATGTATGCTGATTGTGATGATTGTTTGTTGTATCTTTGACGGATGTGTTGTGAATTCCTTCTGTAAGTAGTGCCATATTCATCTTTTATAATATATGAACGGGGAAAGTTGGACTTTGAGACAATAGTACCTCTTGACCAAGAAATACCTTTAGGATTCTTTTTGAAATATACTAAATCTTTATCATTAAAATCTGAATACTGATGAGAATTTTTATCATGATAGAACTTTGATTTATCTATGTTTTTGTGTTTGTTTTTTTGTGAATGTATTGAAAATTTTACAACTTTAGGTTTTAAATTAGCTATTTTAGAAGGTAATTTGGTTCTTAGCTGACGCGACATTAACAGTTGTGAAGGGGAATTTATGTTTCCTCTAGGTGTTGTTCTGTGTTGTAAAAGTCCTAAATAATAATCTGTATTTGACTCATCACATTTTCTAAAAATATTTTTTATAGTTTTAACAGAGACTTCTGCTAGACCGTTTGATCTGGGGTAATGAGGACTTGACATTATGTGTTGAATATCCCAATCATATAAGAAATTTTTAAAATCAGCTGAATTATAAGGGGGACCACCATCACTGACTAATTGTAAAGGAATTCCATGTCGAGCAAATATTGATTTTAATTGTGTAATTACTGTTGAACTTCTACTATCATTGTTCAAATAAGCTATTTCAATGTAATTTGAATAGTAGTCTACAACTAATAAGTATTTCTTTCCTTTATAATCAAACAAATCAGTTGCTACTTTTTGCCATGGATATAAAGGTTGTTCATGTGACAAGAGTGGTTCTTTTATTTTATTAGGACTATACATAAGGCATACATCACATTGCTTTATTAAGTCATTGATTTCATGATTCATGTTTGGCCAATAAACTGTTCCTCGGGCTAAGTTTTTTGTTTTTTCCATGCCCTGATGACCTTCATGTAAAATAGAAAGAATTTCTCGTCTCATTGATGTTGGAATTACTACTGACTGAGACTTAAAAATTATATCTTGAATAATATGTAAATCTTCTTTTATATTCCAATAAGAAAGAACTTTTGGATCACAATTTTGTTTGCTATTAGGCCAACCATTTTTACAATATTCTTTTATTTTTTGTAAAATTATGTCATTATTCGTATGAAACAATATTTTATCTAGTTTTTCTTTAGTTATAGCTAAATTTGAGGTAAGTAAATTGACATGAATTTCTATATTGTCCTCTAGTTCTTCTAAACTTGTTAAGTCTTTAATTGAATTGTCTACTGGGGAACGTGAAAGTGTATCTGCAATATACATTTCTGTGCCTTTTTTATATGTAACAATTAAATGGTATGCTTGTAATGTAATCATCATTCTTTGCAATCTAGTAGGAACATCTGACAGAGGCTTTTTAAAAAGAGTAACTAATGGCTGATGATCAGTTTCTACGAAGATAGGTTTACCAAATATATATTGGTGGAACTTTTTGCATCCAAAAACTATAGCATATAATTCTTTTTCAATCTGAGCATATTGCTCTTGACAAGAAGTTAATGACTTTGAGGCATATGCAATAGGATTTTTTTCATGACATATTACTGCTCCTACAGCATTTTTTGAAGCATCAGCTGACATTCTTATAGGCTTATTTATATTATAATGAACTAATACTGGAGCCTGACATATTAATGATTTTAAATTTTATAAATTCTTGCTCATGTGACTCTGTCCATTGCCATATATTTTGTTTTTTAAGTAAAGCTCGAAGTAAATTAGTTTTTTCTGCTAAATTAGAAATGAAGCTACCTAGATAATTTATCATTCCTAAGAAGCGTTGAAGCTCTTTGACATTTGTTGGACTTTTCATATTAATTATAGCTTCTATTTTAGACTTATCAGGGGAAACACCATTTTTATTAAAAATATGTCCTACATAGCACACTTCAGGGACTCCAAAAGAACATTTTGTTTTATTAAATTTTATGTTTGCTTCTTGGGCCCTTTTAAAAACAGCTTCAAGACGTTGATTATGTTCAGACTCTGAAGAAGCAAATACAAGGATATCATCAATGAATGTTATTACACCGGGAAGACCTTCAAATGTTTCAGACATTATTCTATGAAATATTTCTCCGCTAGAATTAATACCATATGGAAGACGAAGAAATTTGTACCTTCCATAAGGTGTGTTAAATGTGCACAGGTCACTACTTTCATCATCTAATTTTATAATCCAGTATCCTGAGTTAGCATCTAATTTAGAAAATATTGTAGCACCGGCTATTTTAGAACGTAAGTCATCAAATGTAGGATAAGGATAATGAGGTCTTTGAATTGCTAAATTTAAATTTCTCGGATCTAGGCATATACGTAATTTACCATTAGGTTTTTGTACTAGAACAATAGAACTCACCCATTTAGTTGGTTTTGTCACTTTTTCAATAACATGTAGTTTTTCCATTTCATCTAACTCTTGTTTTAATCTATCTCTAAGAGAATAGGGAATCCTACGAACTGGGCAGATTTTTGGAGGAATACTAGGATCAACATCTAAATGTGCTTCTTTGACTAAACATCCTAACCCTGTGAACATTGATGAATACTCATTAAGAATGTTTTGTACTGACCTTGACTGTAGTTGCTTATTTTCTGTTAAAGTAAATAATCTTTGTACTATACCCATTTTCTCACAACTTTTCCATCCTAAAATTGTCTGGCAATTGCAATCCGCAATAGTAAATTGTAAGTTATTTATCAAACCGTTAGTGAATTTGCATTCTAAATTACAAATACCGATATTTGGAATTAGTTCGCCTGAAAAAGAATATATGTTATTATGTGTGTTAAAAATAGGTATTTTTGTGTTTGTGGCTGAACAAAGTGTTTCAAAAGTTTGTTTAGACATTACATTTGTATCAGCACCTGTATCTATCCGACATTTTAATATATATCCATAACAGTCCACATCAATTTGCCAATCCTGATGTGATTTATTGATAGCGCTAATTATAAAGTTATTATTTTCAAAGGGTGAATTGTTACAGACAGTACTTACTTTATTAAGTTTAGGTTTGAAAAAAACAGCAATTGGCAAAATGATTTGGTTTTTTACAAGTTATACAAACTTTTCCCATTGCTGGACATTTAAATCTATGAATTTGACCACATCGAGAACATTGTTTCTTATATTGACTTGTCTGGCTGCGACTACTTGAAATGTTTCTTGATGCTGATGACTCTGAACGATTATCCCTTCTCCCTATGCTTCTTGAAATCCTTTTTGGCTGATATTTGCGACATTTATATTTAATTGTTGACTATTTTGTAACTTTTCTGACCTATTTTGCGACATTTCTATGCTTTTTGCTATATTTACGGCACTTTCTATTTCCAACTTGTCCTTTTGTAACAAATGTTCTTGGATTTTACGGCTTCTTATTCCAATAACAAACATGTCTTTTATTAGAGAATTTTGGAGACTTTTGAACTCGCATGAATGACTTAGGTTGGTCAGACTTGTGACATATTCATCGATTGTTTCACCTTCCTTTTGTGTTCTTGTGAAAAAATTAAATCTTTCGACGGTCACGTTTTTGCATGGATTAAATTTTGCGTCGAATTTGTCGAACACGTGTTTTAAGGTTAATGAAGAATCTGCTCTGTTAATATTGAATGAATTAAATACCTTTAATCCTTCGTCGCCGATTGCGTTTAAAAGGATTGCGACTTGTTTGGTTGGTGATCGGTTGTCAAGCTCGTTTGCTTCCATAAAAATTTCGAATTTTTGCTTCCATGTCCGCCATCTTTCACATATTTGTCCGTCGACAATGAGAGGTCGTAGCGTGTTTGAAATTATTATGTTAGACTGATCTGCCATATTATTTTTTCTTGTATTTGTATTAATTTTTCACTTCTGACACCATGTTTTATTGTAAATGAGTAAAGAAGACTTGTTTAGTTGTATAAACTTTATTTGATCACTTACATGATATGCACGTTGGGCGTTGACAAGAATAAGAAGGAAGTAATATCTATGAACGACCCAATATATAGTAATAATCATAGACAATAATGTTACACCATGTACCGGTACTTTATATCCTTGAACTTAGTATTACTCTACATTTAATCTAATACATGAAATTTGAAATTTTATTGATCCAAACAGAAATGGTTAGGTCATTTTGACAATGAGTAACCATGCCAGAGAATACTTACCCTCAATAACTTTCATTATCATTATTCAATGTTCTAGAATTTTGTCCCAGGTAAACTTTCACAGTGCTTAGCCGTTTGATGAACACCATATTTTAAGAATTCTGTACTTCATATCAATGTATTTGTATATAAAGTTTAAAATATGTGCTTATTATGATGAATCTTTTTTTTTTAATATTGATGTTGGTGTATTAAAATATTAAATAATTGAATGTTTTCTACTTAATTTTTCAATGGCTACCATGAGATTTAAAACTGATGAGATTTAAATTGACCATTGACAACTACTATAGCACCGTACTAGGGTCGCATGGCATACTACGCCCATATACAGTGTCATGTGTACATATGCTTTGTGACCTTTACAAATGAACTTTACGTTACAATTTTATACGTAGAGGTGTTCTAAAAATTTTTGTTTTGTACAATTTAATAACTCGGTAAATATTGATGTTAAAAGAATGTAAATGCTAAATACAATTTTAAAAAGTTTACCTCTATATGTGTGTTCATTTATTGTCGCGGTTGTAACGACACGCTGTATATACTCTTATCTAGAAAAGCCGTGTGCCCAGTAGTTTTATGTGTATACAATCTGTGCCCGCGACAGACAGACTGACAGACAAAGATTGTAAAAAAAAATATTTTGGTACCTATACCGCATATACATCCATAAGCATTTAGTAAAGAGCGGTTAATAATAATAATAGAGTAATAATGTTTGTAATAATTAATATTATTACAAACAGACACTCCAACTTTATTTATTTATATAGATGTAGTCTTACGGCCAGTTCCAATATTCTATTTACAGATAGATTTGTCACTGGATATAGAATTTTGACGTAAGTATTATAGAGCTAATGCCAAATACCTATTGTTACTAACCAAATTTACAGATAGATAGAATATTAAAACCGGCCGTTAGTCTGTTACATTGCAATTAGATTTACTATGGTATCAACTAAATGTTGTATTAGCAAAGAATTATCTTTACTGTTATATTTTGCTAAAGACAAAAGATAAACAATGTAATCATTTTTATAACAATTTAATACACAACCACTAATAAAATGGAAATCTGACTTTTACATGATTTACAAAATCTTATGTATTACTTATTTGTATTCCGACTAAATCTCACAATAGTATAGACTCAATTACAAAGATGACATTTGATAGCCGTCTTTGTCCTATAAAGTGCATAACAATAAAAATATTAACAAGTGTTTTATAAATGTATACCAAAAATGGAAGATTATTATCAAAGGGTACATAATTTTTTTTTTCAATTATAGTTATACTGTTCTATTAGTATCTTAACATAAAATTCAACAATGTAATATGCATACATATATTTTGTTTTACAACAACCAATTAATTATTGATTTATGTGTTTATCTAATTGGTCTTATAACTGTGAGTACACTTTTAAAATAATTATATACAATTTCGTTAGTTCAAATGAAAAACGATCACGGAATTCAATAATTAACATTTATAAATATTCCCTATTCTCAACAATATGGCGGAATGTAAGGCATAAAAAATATTAAAATATAAAAATAAATTTCGCTTTTACAAATATTTTAAAATGGATATTAAATTTATACGAAAACTGTTTATATATCATGAATTGAATTATATTTTGGCACAGTACAAAATATTATAAAACTTCGTTACATCGTAAATAAAACAATTTGTTTTAATATGATTGTTCCATATGTTTGTTTGATACACCCGTTATAATTGTCAGAGTCCATGACCAAAAATTTTTCTACTTACCACTAGTACAATATAACATCAGCTAAAATAATCTAAATGCAGGCTTTGCCCTTGCTGACAGCGGCAGATAACAAAAACGGGTATCATTTTTTTGATTTCTATCCTGTTTTCTTTCTTCGTTTTGTTATCATTCTTATTGCCGAGCTATGACACCCGTTTCTGTTACTTGGCGTTGAAGCTACCGTAAAAGCTAACTTAGCAAAAAAAATTTCTTTGAGAAATTCTTACAAGCGTGAAATTAAAAAATAAAAACATGACAATGCATTGCAAAGAAAATCACACTAACTATTATGGTAACTTTGCTGTAAGGAATTTATCACGTTCGTTCTTCTCTAAGAGAATTTTAAATGTAAAAAATAGGTACGTAAAAATGAGAATTCTTTGAATAAAGAGCCAATAAATGACTTCATATTTCATAGTAAAAGAATATAATATCAATTTAACGAAAAAAAATGTTATAAAACAAACACCACATTCAAGAAAATAAAAATGCAAAGCAGACACAATAATAATAACTACAAATAAAAAAAAAAACATAAGCACTGCTTAATACACATAACAACTATTAGTCACAATAACAAGAGGTGTGTATAGCTTTTCCTATAAAATTCAATGCTATATTATTTGCTTTTTATATAACTTTTAGAATCCACTGCACATTAGGCCTTCATGTGAGTTTCATTTCTTCATCCAAGGCCAACATGTGAGTTTCATTTCTCCATTTATTTTAACAATTTATTGTTTTTGTCAACTTTAAGTAACATCATCTGCAGGAATGTCTTTGCTAAAAATAATCCTTCATTAAAAAACTTAATTCCAACTACAAAATGATTAGGAAAATGCCTATTGAATCTGGTTAAGTTCACAAATCAGTTGAAATTCTTTGGTATCATTCCTTTGAATTCATTGTTACTTCTCCCACTCGCACCAACATTCAGGCAGTTACCTAAATCTTTTCTCTTCAACAATTCGTTATGATGTAGCAATGATTATAATATTTTAAGTATTGAATACATAATAAATATAATTTGAACATTCAATATGAGATTAACCACTATTACATTGAAATATAAAAAATGTAAATGTAAGTCAAAAACTACATCTACTGTAATAAATATGTGTAAATGTTAAAAAGAATCAATAGTGATCCTCTGTATAGTAGACTAATTCCATATATGATAAGGACTAACTTATAGGCACTAGCTACTGATTTAAATAAGCATAATTAATTATGAAGCTTTTGTACCTTAATGGTACCAAAATTAATTCGAAGTTGTTCTAGGAACACAAAAGTGAGAACAGTGTGAGGTGCGAGCCTCGCGAACGCTGGAATGTATCCTTTGAAAAAGGCAAGTGGACCTTCTTTGGCGGTCCCTTTGACAAGTATAAGTATGCTGTTAACTTCACCTGGCTTGGCATTCATGGCTCTAGTTTTCAAAACATCAACAGGCTGCGTCAAAGTTGTAGCTATTGCACCCTGTGATAATATAAAAATAATACATTATTAAAATTACTGAAAATATGCCTCTTTCTAAATGGCGCATTAACTCTACGTTTTTAGATAAATATAGCAATAGCCACAGGTTTAGAATTAAACCATTTTGTTCCACTTTATGAGATATTTGCATTTAAAAAAAATATATTTTCACAGATTTTTTTTTTGCTTCTGGAAAACAATTTTCTTTATTAATTATTAATCTTGTACATTTTACTTACAGCCAGTAAACTGGAGGTAACATGAGTGAAGACATTGTCCTGCAGATATTTTGTTGCTAGTAGCAATTCCTTAATTTTGTCATAGAAGGAAAGTTGACCAATTGTCATGAGAACAGCTCTGCTGCAGGTCATAGATGCACCAGCCCATAAGCGCATCACACCCTCTTCCGTCGCGACACGCCACAGACCATGAATGGCATTCTTGTAACTAAAAATATAAATTGTAACTAAACACAATGTATCATAGCAATATTGCAAAAAGGTCAATGTTGAAAATGGTAAAGTTTGCCGACTCAAGTTTTTAACATGACAATGTACAAATTTACGCATTATGGTGTCTACGTTGGAAGGTTCTAGGGGGAGCGTCGGCTCGGGCTGTCACATTATTATTATTCTCACCGGTGGTTTGGGAGGCTACCAAGCTCTTAGGGCGCTTTGGCGGATGCTCCATGGAGTTGGCTGTTGACTCAAAACCCGTTTAGCATTCCGATTCGAGGGTGCCCGAGAGGGCCGGACCTCGGCTTGATCGGTAGCTATAGTCTGACTGGGAGGATTTCTAATGCTATCATTAATACCACTTCGGAAAGGCGTTGGCGCTGGGAAAAAGTGGTGGAAGAAACTCTAGTAACGCTTCTATCAACGACGGTTGAAAAAATGCCGTGGCGGAAACTAGTATATGTTTGCCGTGTGTTCTGGTGTATTTGCGTAATTTTTAGAAGAAGAAACGTTTATTCACGATCTAAAAACAAATGAATACATACAAAACTTAAAAATAATAATGTAACTACACAGAAACTTAGAATAAATGTAAACATAAAAATAAGCAAACAAAATAACAACAACATGTGACGGTCTGTGTAGCAGCATAAGCCCGTGAAACGGACGGGACTCGGTAAAAGTCGAGATACAGTAACTAGTTCTGATCCCGACACCGGTTTTCAGTCCGGCCCGCACTTCGAGGCAACTCGGACGGCTGCGACAGTGACCTTGCAAAAAATAGCTACAGCGCAGTATAGCGAAAATTAAATTGTTTTTGTTTGAACCTTTCATTCATATAGACAGTGGTTGACATTCGTCTGATGAGGTAAGTAAAAATTAAAACTAATGTTTGTTTTTTAATATTGGTTACCAATGTTTATCCCTACTCTGTGGTACTATGACACTTAACGATTAAGTGGTGGAAACGTGTAATAATTTCAAACATCAAATGCGAGACGAACCTCGTTACGCATTGGCCACGTGATATGGGTAAGAAAGTGATTGACTTAAAAATAAATTTATGATACAGGTATTGACAATTATAAGGTATATATTATATTTTATTGAATTATATTATATTATATCATATTAAATTACATTATATTATATTACATCGTATTATTAATCTTTAGGCAGATTTTTTTTGCTCTACAAGCAGATACAATCTGTACTTGTTTTTAAATCCACTTATTGTTTTCAGGTCACGCAATGGAGGCGGGAGGTTTGTTCCAGCACTTAGTGGCATTGTATTTGAAACTGCCTCTAAGCAGCCGAACGGTGGAAAGGATAGACTAATTTATAATTAGATGATCTTGTATTATACATCTCATTTTGATCTTTAGCCCAAATCAACTTATTGTAAAGATATAACGGCTCTTTGTTTTTAATAGTCCCAAAACAAAGAGAGGCGAAGTGTAGTCGTCGGCGGAGGTCCATCTTTAGGATATTTGCGCTGTTTATGAAAGGCGTTACGTGTGCACGAGGCGGTATATTAAAACAGAAACGTGCACAGGCATTTTGTACTCTTTGTATTATTTGCCTTGTTCGTGATAAGAGACGTGGGCCTAAGAGAGAATCTGCGTAATTGAAAAAGCACGAGAGATTCGCACAGATTGATACGTAAGGGAACACTTAGATAATCACGAATCGTATTCGTGATTATCTAAGTGTTCCCTTACAGTTACATAGTACTTTCAACCTGTAAAAGCAGTTACGTGCAATACCCATAATATGGTTCTCAAAACGCAGTTTGTCGTCCATTATTACCCCCAAATTTCTGAATTCCGCCACTCTTACAATGGATTCGTTGTTAACGGTAATGGCAGGGTGACTTTGTATGATCTTATTTATTTGATTTGGCGATCCTAGAATCATATACTGCGACTTCTTTGGATTGAGAACTAGTGCGTTACGCTCTGACCACAAAGATATCCGATATTTTAAATCCTGTCGATATCGATAGTCGTCAGAACCAATGTGCTTCCGTAGCTCTGCGCAAAATCGATTCTGAATGACCTGAAGCCGGTGGATTTGCTTCGGAGTAATGTGAATACCGAAAACCGGATTCGCGTACGTCAACAAAGCGGCGAACTACTGCCTTATAATATAAAATCACCTTGTTCCGAAGACGTCTTGTTTAACAGTTAATAGAGGCGACCGAGTACGAAGGCCCGGGTCCTGACCCGAGTATGGTGTGTTGGCTGAATTTGAGCTTAGAGTCAAGGACTCTTTAAGTTTATTGACCCATGGTACAGGACTGTTCATGAGTTTAATAGATGGGAGACTTTTGTCTATAACATAATTTTTACAGAATCTAGCAATATTTAAAACTGATGATAAGTTGAAAGATTTTCATGGTTAAATTCAAGGCACCTTATATATCTTATCAAAACTAATTATGATAACAAAAGTAGTATGAGGTTTTAATAGATAAACTAATTGTTTGGTGATATAGAAAAGATAATGTGATAAAAAATTATTAAAATAACTGAGTTAATATGGAACTATAACAATTATATACCATTTTCTATTAAGACTACTCACTATAAAGATAATGACTTCATGTTGTAGTAGGCAAGGTATTGGCTTTGCTGCCAGTCAGGCTTCAGTCAAGGGTTCAATTCCCAAATGAGACAGTTATTTGTGTGAACCACAGATAATTGTTTTGGATCTCGGTGTTTGTCCATGTAAAATTTATGTAAACAAAATGTCCTTACAACACGGGACAATGTTATCCTACAGTAAAGGGGCAATGTTTTTGAAAGGTAGACTACAATAGATCTCTCTAGGGTGAGGTTGCAGCGGTTGTTGTGACCCAAGCCCTTCCACACAAAATACATGCCATGAAGATGTTCCAATAAACAATAAGAAAAACACCTTATATCTTAAAATATTACCATTATAATTGGTTTTATAAGTAAAGTAAAGTATCAGCCTATACATGTCCCACTGTGGATTGGCAGACTTCACATATCTTCGAAATATTTTTTTTGTTATTATTTCGAACAAATACACCGCTGAGCATATGATAATTCAGCATTTAAATAAACAATTTCAAATTGGTGCTGGCACAGGGTATCAAACTCAGGTTGCTCAAGTATAATAAATTAAAGATGAGTGCCCGGACACTGAGCTATCACAGCTTTTCATATCATTCTTATGCATAAAGCCAAGATTCTAAATATAAATTTGAATAATCATTAAGAAAGGGGCAAGAAAAAAATATGAGTGTCCTTCGTCAATTAAAAGTATGCATTCCAAGAAATGACAAGGTAAACAAAAATTTAAAATAATTTTTCCATAACTTTTTCTTTGGAACATATATGACCTAGCACCACTGTTCAAGCATAATAGAAACAAAAAAATATTTCTAATTTATGCTGATTTTCACTTGTCCTACCTTATGAAATACATTCAAAAAAATGAATAAAATTATTTTCTGTAATACCTTGGCATTTTTATTCCCTGTTTGGGTTAACTAACATATTGAAAGCTTTTGGCTCTACTAAGGATGTAGAAAGCTATAGCCTCTTTCATTGAAATCATAAATATGAAATATTAGAAAACTTTATCAAGTTTATAACTTACTTTCTTCTCTGTTCTGGAGGAAGTTTGACATCATTCTGCATTCGAACATTAACTAGATCTGCTGGATTTCCAACAAAACCTCCAGCAAAACCACCCAGGCCGGCAAGAAATGCAGAAGTAAAAAATGATATAGCTTTTCCCTGAAAATAATAACAATTTACCATAGGACTCAATGCTATCAGTTGTGCCAAATGTAATTTATTTAACATCATAAATGACTCAAATAAATGTAAAAATTACTTGATCACTTTTTAATTTACACACTATATTACTGTCCATCAACTGAGGCAACAAATAAATACCCAACTAATATTACTTTAAAAGTAATAACTTTAACTTATTAAACATTATTAACTTAGTAGGTTTCTGCTAGTCACTAAATTATTTTAAAATGTAAAACAAATCGCATGTAGGACTTACATCCTTTGGAGTGAGTTGTTGTTTTGCCATTTCATAAATACCAAATCTTGCAGTTGAGTATGTTAGTTGCCTTAAAACAGAGGCAGAAATTCCATTATAGAGTCCCAATATGCCTAGTAAATAAAAAGTATACTGAATTAAAGAAGTACAGTACACAGTTGCATTTATTTTAAGTTAAATCTAAAAAAGGAAGTGATAATATAATATACAGAATAATTAAAGTACAATTCTAAGGATTAAATGTTACAAACTTATGTGTATTATATACATATGTATTATGATGACATTGTATATTTCAATGTCTAAATTTATTATACAATGTCTTCAATATATTCATAGTCTATAAATTCATTATACAATGTCTTCAATAAAAATGCACAAAAATAGATAGATTTTAAGCTGCAATAGGATAAAAGTTAATATTGCTATATAGATATTTAATACTTAAATATTAACAATAATACCTTGATTTTTCAAAACAATTCCTGTAAGCTTTAACATTGAAATGTTTTTTCCTTTTTGTGTTTGCATTTGTACTTTTAGTAAATCTAGTGGATGTGTTACACACGCTGCTGCAGCTGATGCTAACCCTCCAAAGTACCATTGCGAAACCCTAACTTCCTTTCCCTTATTCATAGTACTGAAATTTTTCATAATTAAGTCTACATATATATAGTCAAGGACGTTATATGGTAGGTAGTAGTGTTTTTTGGATATTCTAATTAGGAAATATATACTTTAATATACATCAACCATCCATGATGATGATGTTCTTTTTTTTAATCGTTTGACATTTTAACTACTCTTTAAATTCAATACCTCAAATGAAATCGGCAATTTAAATTCACTTTAAAGAAATGACATTTTCAAGCGTTAGTTTTACAAAAACCAATAATATTTTATATTATTATAAAAAATATCATTGACAAGAACGCGATTCCTTTAGTGATCAGTTTTGATTTGAATTTTGATTGATTGAATTGAATTGAAATTTGAAAGATTACACTGTAGGTACACAGATTATCACACTATTTGTAGTTTAAAAATCAGAAGAGTTTTTATTTTTAGACCATAAATATTGTCTGTGTATATTATTTTCGTTTAAGGCAATTTGGTATTAGGGTGGTAACAGTTGAATTTAACATTTAAATATTTTTTGTATCCAATCCCGTCAATAAATAGATTTATTAATAAAAAAAAGCTTATTTTAATTATTCACATACGTTTATTATATAAATCTACATTTTTCAGCATTCTAATTGATGAAATGTCAAAAGCAAACGTTTAAAAACTAACCTTGAAATGTTTACATTTATTTTTGTTTCTAATTTGAATAGTACAAATAAACAAAAAGTTGATTTCAAAATAAAAATAATAGATACCAATAAAAAATTGCCTTAATTCCATATAAGGTACGCCCATTGATTTTTAAAACTAATTGACTTACTCTATATCTGAAGCACTAAACTTTTTACAACAAAGTAGACTCGGTTATACCAATATAGAGTTCTGACTGACGGTCAGGGGCTCAGGGGCAGTGTTATATAATATTAGACCGGCGATATTATTTACTGAGGACGTGAATAAGAACTGTCTTTCCCTACATGCATATTACATGTAATGTAAATTTAGTTCGATTATCACACGGTCACTTATCTTAATTCGTATATTTTTTGGTTTGCATGTTAAAAAGATTGAAAGATAATATGTTTTTTTGTTTTAGCATGGCATCAGATATAATAACTGCCTTGGATTTGGATAAGAAAAATTTATTAAGTAGAAATTTGGTTGTTAAGGAAATGAATGGCTGTGATAGTTTTTTCATTACAAGTTGTGTTTTAGGACATTTTATTAGAACTAAAGGTCCAGTTCTTGTAATTTCTACCCATAATTCAATTAAACATTACCACAATGTTGGCCTGAAGATGAATTATAACCTTAACAAGAGTGTTGAGACCGGCTTTATACATTTCTATGATGTTGGTGAAGAATGTATAAACAAAATACTGAGAAATGAATGCTTATCACTAGAAACTATTTTCCAGAGCATTAAAGAGAAAGTAGAATATATGCAAAATAAATTTAATATGGTAAATGTTGTATTTGATGGAGTATCACATTTATTGGATATGCAGTTCAACCTGAAGGAGGTAAATTTGATATGCTCAAAAATTATCAATTTGGTTAGAACTTATAGCAACTCAATACTAATAATACATTGCAATGTTGTACAAGAGCATGATATTACTTATGTCTTAGCAAATCTCTTATCACATAAAGCACATACAGTATTAGAAGTAGAAAATCTTGCTTCTGGCTTGAGTAATGATGTTTCTGGACATTTAACACTGAAATATCCGGGTAGGAAATTCGAAGAGGATCACATGTTTTCAATGGATATAAAGCCTGCTCAGTATCTGTTTAAGTTATTTGATAGAGGTGTGAAGTTGCTTGCACCTGGAACTGTGTAGGTAATTAATGTTTTTAAAAATGTTTTAAAATAGCCTTTCATTTGCTCTAATATTTGCCATTTTAAATGATTTACAAAGAAATCATTTCTTTGTAAATAATTTAAAAAGGTTTTTCGTTCACATTCTTTTGTTTCAAATATGGTAAAAATTTAATATATAAAATTCTCATGTCACGGTGTTTGTAATTAAACTCCTCCGAATCGTCTAGACCGATTTTCGTGAAATTTTGTGTGCATATCGAACAGGGTGGAGAATAGGACAACATCTATTTTTCATCCCCATAAATGTTAAGGGTGGTCCACCCTAAACACTTTTTAATTTATATGGCAAAACAATGTTTGCCGGGTCAGCTAGTTGTTATATAAATATGTTAAATGTTCTCAGACTATACATGACTCAAAGTAAGTAAATAAAGGTACAAGTATTTATCCATGACTTTTATTTAAAAAATTTGTTGTTTTAAATTTCAGTGTTGAAATTGTAGCCTAAAGTTTAGTTAATAGAAAAAATGTTTTGCATTGTATTAAAGATGTCCATAATTCCAGCTTGAAAAACAACTCAAGGTGTTTAGTAGTCTGTCCTACAGTTAGTGATTTCATTCAATGCGTTTAGTTGCAAAAAAGGCAGTTCCTTGTGATAATTGTAAAGTTTATTCTATATAGGTAATACTTTTTTGCATTTAAGTGACCTTAGGTAATTTTTTGGACTCATTAATGTTAAAAAATATAAAAAAATTAATAATTTCAAAAAAGTCTGAAGTTGTGTATAAATATAAAGATAATAAAATCATAAATATTACGACAAGAAATAATTTAGTGTTTCGTCACGGAATGGCCGTTACTAATGTCTTTAAAGCGCACTTACATGTATAAAATACGAGTGCAGTGTTATAGATGCATGCAATAGCTCGCTCAGAGGCGGATTAAACACTGAGAGCGCTGTAGGCAAGCATCTCATCGGCGCCCCTACATTAAAGCTGGTATATATAAAGGTACGACTGGCATGTAAACCATGATCATGAAGTTCTCTATATAATAATTTCTGGCGTGTAAAGCCAATCGAACTTTTTAGTGTAAATAACAAGTTTAAAATTTTTTTTCTCGAAAACTAAGGTACCTGAGAAATCTGCTTATTGATTATTTATTTCATTAATGATTTTTTTTCTACCGAATAAAATTTTCTGTTAGGTCGAAAAACACCCGGCGCTAATTGAAAAAAATACCATATCTTGATTAAACCATTCAGTGCAATAATTATATTCTTGTGGTTCGTTATTAATATCCCAATTGACTGGGTCACAATCCACCATATACAGTTTATTTTGCGACTGCTTCACAACTTCTACTGCTGACGGAGTAGGCGGCGTAGGCTCAGAATCATCACTTTTGAAAAAAACGTCTCAATATTTTTCTTTTACTTTATTACATTATAATGTTTTTCTTCTTTCTCTTTAGCCTTCCTTTTATATTCTGCACCAATAGGTTTTTTCTTAATTTACTCATTCTTTAAGTAATAAATAAAAATTTATTGGACTAATTAAATACACACATAACACCGCAGCGAGAACGTAAACAATAAAAGCGCCAGAATCGAACCGAACCCGACTACGATACTTTTAGCTAGAAGTCAAAGATCGCGTATCGGAACAACGCCAAACCACTTGGGACGCTCTACTAGAAGACATCGAACCATTGCACACCGCCTACGGGCGGTTGACCCGTAGTTTGAAAGCAGAGCCCCGCGAATCTGTACCTCATTACTAATACGTAATAGTACTTCACTAGCCCTAGATTACTCTGAAAAGGTCGAATGCCTTGCGGACAACGTAGAGCAGCAGTGTACGCCATCACGCAAACACGTCGATATAGCCTAACGGAGATTGATCGCGTAATCGAACTTAGGGCTTTTACCTCAGTGACCCCCGACGAGGTCCAAGATAATATTAAAAATCTCAAATCTAATTCCGCCCAGGCCCAGATTAAATTAGTAATAAAGTCTTAAAATCTCTCCGTGGGCTGAATATCTGCATACTGGCGACCATTTTCAACAAACTTTCTCCAGCTGCTTCTTCTCGGATGACTGGAAAGAGGCCACCGTCATCGGCATTCGCAAGCCGAAGAAAACCGTCATCGGCATTCGCAAGCCGAAGAAAACCGCTAATAAGCCATCTAGTTATCGACCTATCAGCCTCCTCAATTACTTAGGGAAGCTCTACGAGTGGCTCATATTAAATAGACTCAAAGAGTACGTTTCAAATGGCCCTTTGTTGCCTGTTGAACAGTTCGGCCTTCGAGCTAGACACTACCAACCAATTATACCGCCTGATGGAACACATTCTGAAAAGCCTTAATCACTCCAAACACCTAAGCACCGGGGCTCTCTTCTTCGATATCGCAAAAGCTTTAGTCAAGGTCTGGCACAACGAAGAAAAAGATCAAAGACAAAAAGATCTCACCAAACGGAGCTGATCATCATCGCGACCCTCTGGGATTTCCTCAACGTCAAGAAGCGTCGCCCTCGCAACGACCATCGTACGACCCGTAGGCGACATGTCATAATTAATGCACGCATGAGCCACTGAGGGAACCTCAAACCCGTGGGTTCTGCCTAAGACACCGGTTCTGCGTTCGATTTAGCTTAAGTAGCCTAAGGACTGAAAGCGTAACATCAGTTATACAAAATAAAAAAAATAAAAGCGCGTCATAGACAAAAAAGTTGAAAGTCGTGTCACTCTACAGTCTACACTCATTTGTTCGCGCTTGACCGCTTAGCTCCCGCCCCCGCACCGCACTCTCGTCGCCGCAATTTTAGAAGCAGGGACGTCCGATTCCGATACTCACAAACTCACAAGTCGCGATCGACATGAAGTGCATTATAGTCGTATCTTTCCTACTTCAATCAGAGATCATGTACCGATGTGTAAGATTGTTTGTAGGCCCAAGTTTTAGTCAGTCCCATCCGTTAAGTTTATCTTTGGTTATAAATTGAAGCAAATTGAGGTTCTAAACAAAAATAATAGTTTTTATTGTTTAAGTTGGTGGCTTAATTACTGGCGCAATTAATTTATGTTATATTATATATTTTTCCTTTATTTCACAACTCGGCCCGTGCGCCCCTTTGTACCCTCGCGCTCCTAGCTAGGCACATGTCTAGTTTGCCTTAAGGATAATCCACCCCTGAGCTCGCTGCTGTATGGATAGGTTGGTTCGTCTGGACCTCACAGAAGACTGGCTGACGCCAGTCTCTCCTCACATAAGACTGGCAGAAGTGGAATTATTATACTTCTGGCTTCAATCACTGGGCCCACTTTATTTATAGGTTGTCATGTAAATGTCCATGTACGGCGGTTAACACTTAATATCCGGTGAACCGTCAAGTCGGTTACATTCTCACATAAAAAAAAGAAGCGAAAATCCCAAAAAACTCAACAACTAAAATACTTTGTTATTGATTAAATAAATACGCAATAAGTGCGCTTGAAGTTTTTAAGTGCAGCCGTTATTAGTTCTTTGTAATTTTAAAAACCATATAAAAGTATACAGGGAGGCTTTTCTAAGTGTTTTAATTTTTTTATTAAGTTCTAGACATAAATAATGTTATATAAAAATGATAAATATTTAAAATCACAAGTAATTAATTAAATACATTCATTTGAACTTATCTCAAAAAGTGCGTGTTTTATGGGCAACTCATTATACTCGCGATCATTCATAATTAACACGCACACAAGTTCGTTTCAAAAGTATACGACGCAATTTATGAATGACTACCGCATTGTCAACAAGTTCTGTTTCATAGGGAAGGAATGGCAATTTTTTTGAAAAAAAAAAACAGTTGGTTTTTATTTTAATAATCGATTATATTACCGAGTCTGAACCACCTGTGTGAACTTGGGCACCTTTTGAAAAGCCACTCTGCATATGCATATATTATAATTAAAAAAATATAAGAACCTTTATTTTACAATCTTTCTGTTCCTCTTTGTATCCTAACCTGATCTAATATGACAAATAGAGATACACAGTAATGTGAAAGTTTACCGATTCTATATATATAATGCTGGAGTCGAACCCAAGATCCCCTGTAGACGTGCATATTCGTTACTTCTTCTTCGTCTCGCCACTTTAAACACAGTTAATTAACCTACATCATAATGCTATCAACTTACTTAGATGAACTCCAAATAATTGAAGAACGGTGATCCCTACCCTCGATACATCATTTGGTTTTATCTCCGGCGCCCGTTTTAAGGAAGTACTTATAACCCTAAATATTCGAAATAGTCAAAGATCGTCAGGATTGAGGTCTGCTAACTCTCTACATGAATGAATACTTTCTAGCAGCTTCTGCAAGCTAGAGCTTTCCCAAGCCCAGAATACGGAAATGTTTCAAAGGCTAAAATTGTTTCGCAAAGATTAATTCATAAGTACCGATGATTAATTGGCAGGTGAATAATCTTCTTCATTTGTGTTTTTGGTTTGTTAAAAATATGATCGGTTTTATTTATGCATCATTTTTGTTAAGCTTCAAGTTTATCAAATCTTCAAAGAAGAAACATTAAACAGCTAACATACCATTCAGAGTGATCCGTTAACGCGCTACGAAACTTAGTTTTATTTGTGGTGATTAGCTGTTGCCCTGGCGACCCGCGTCAGCCGAAGGTTAAGCTTGGACCAGCTTACAGTCCATGTGGTAGTTCGGTACTGAAACCGCGTGTCCTTACTAAAATGAAGAACGTTCAAAAACCCTGTGATACTCCAATACTTTATAAGTGACACGTCTTTCCACTTGATTATTAATCCCTAAGCAAGACAAAGAAATAATAACAGATTAAATTGACCATTGATAATTGTTATTAAGTGTAGTGTGTTAAATTGTTATTAGTTCGAGAGATAAAGTGATGCAATGACTCAAAGTAATATTTTTAGCAACGAAAAACTCCATGGCGGGGCTCGCACAATTAGCGAGGAGAAACTTATGGTAACTTCATTTATTACGCTTTTCTGATTAGTAATTACCGATCTTGTTGCAATTGTTTTTTATGTATATTATCTTCTAAACTTTTTAAATAATTTGAATTTATTTAAGACTAGCTACTGCCCGTGACTACGTCTGCGTAGAATAAGCTGAAAGTGTAATATTAAGATAGAAAGACAGATATACATAAAATATGTATATAAATTATAGACTATATCTTATTCTGATGTATAAGCTATATTATGGTAAAGTTTCATTAAAATCCATTCAGTACTATTTGCGTGAAAGAGTAACAAACATCCATCCATACATACAAACTTTCGCGTTTATAATATTAGTAAGGATTAAACACAAGTAAAGAAGTAAGGATTCGTTACTTTTATTTAAAGTAATTTTTCTTAAATTATTTCAGTGCTAAAAGAAACTGTGTGAAGTGTTTAAAGAAGTGAAGTGAATTTAGACTGAAAAATTATTTTTCCTGAACTTTCATATTTATTTCTGTGTTAATGCTAGAGGTATGTGAGTATAATTTTAGAAAATGCCAAAACATAAATTCGCTCACGTCTTTCGTATATAATATTAGTAACTATAAGTAATAAAGCGATATACAACTTTCTTTTCTTTAATGCAAAAAGTTGACAAGCGAGTCGGCGGTTTAACTGATGTAACGTGACTGCTGCCGCCCGCAGATTCCGCTAGTTTGTTTTAATAACTTGCATATGACAAGCAATATTTTTATATGATCAACAATATATTTGTTCCTGGGTAGTCTATCTAACATATAGGGAGTTATTCTGTAATCGGAATAATTAAATATAAAAAACGACGGGTACGGTGCCATTTAGAATTTAGCACAAACGTAGTAATATTCAGTGTTTCGACACTTAAGAAATCCGAAAGAAAATTATAACTATTGTACGCCACCGGGATTCGAAGAAGAAATCTCAGGCTGCGTGTCGACGTCACATACTATACGCCATTAGAGCCAATTAAATAAAAGTAAACAAAGCATCTAGTTTATAAAGAAAGCGTGAAACGTTTTTTTATATTGGAATGAGGTCAGTAGTCAAGGTCTGGTATTACGAAGGTTGCAAAGAAACCTATTGCATGAAGTATGTCAAATAGTACACTTGGTTAAATTTATTGGCTTAACGTAATAGCTAAGCACCTTTGAAATGTAACAAGCTCTTGCAATATTAGAAGCTGCTATATTTCCAAACACCACGATAAAAATACGAAATACAAGTTAACAAATTAAATAATTTGGAGTACTTAAATTTTAAGTATTTAGTGTGACTTCAGACCCAAAACCTGATGTGCAACATCACCATTTTTAATGCATAACTGCAAAAGAGCGGAATAATTTGTCGGCGTCTATACATTCGTTTGATAAGATCCGGGGTATTTTGCGAGAGCACACATACATAGTGCACATTCACCAACGGGTACGGTAGACAAGCATTATGTAGTGAATACTAAAAAAAAACATTCTTTTTAAATTCTAATATTATATTTGCTTATCAGTAATAAAACTACATAGTAAACAAAATATTCTGGTTGAGGCTACAGGTAAAGGAACTAGTGAATATTGATGCTGTGTTATTTTAATGTTCTATAATGTAGACGGAGTTAGACTGATTTTCCCAATATATAAATAATATGAGAATGATTAACTTAAAACAACTTTTACCAGGTTGCAGTGCGCGTTAGACCTCTGCGTGGCGACGAAGGTCCGCGGATTGTGCACGTTGTCAGCGACAAGGTAACGATGGCGAACTACACAGAGACAGCTTGTAACTACTATCCACTGTTCACTCGGATTATTAAGTTCAAAAAGTATTGGATGACTAACCTATTCCAGGGCACAAGACATTTTCTCCTTGCCGGGTTCTAATTAACAAATGTTCATGCCTAAATAAAACAAATTTAAATAATGTGAAATACCTTATGGAAAAAATCTAAATAAGTTATTCAAAAATTTACAATACAAGAAGATAAATTTAAATTTTTATAAAAAATGTTTCAGTTAATAAAGAAATTAAATAAACAAAGTTCATTTTACTAAATAGGTTATAGTAATACAGTTGATATATTCAATCTAATCATCATCAAACGTTGAGATTTTCATCGGCGCTGTCTAGGCGCGATTCTGAAGACGTGGGTTCGATTCCCCCTGCGGCGAAAAACTTTCCGTCCATGTTTTCTACAAATTTTAATGACATATTCCCCTCTTAAATGTGCCTTTTTCTGAAATCATTGCATATTTTATCATGTTTTATTAGTATATTACTAAGGACATACTGCGTCATGACTAATTTGGCCAAATCTTTGTGAAACAGTTATCGAAAATTTCATGAATAGAACTGTGGCCTGTCATCAGAGCCGCGGTGGCCATTCGTCCTATATTTTCTACTTTATAATGTAACAAAAATATGTTAACTTGCTAAATAAATATGTGTTTTTATTTTTAAATCAATAAATGCACTTTTATTGCGACACCTTGTGTAATGAATTACATGTGTCGTTGCTTTCTAGATGCTTGTGTTGGAGGAGGAAGCCGACAGCCGTCGCGACGTTCTACGTCAACGACGAGTTAACGATAAGCATTACATTTACGACAGAGTTTTCAGCGAAGAAAGCACTCAGGTATGAAGCAAGTGAATTCCGTGACATATGGACACTCACAAAACCTAAGAAAAAGATACACAAAAGTTGCAGGTCTGTTATCAACCATCCAGAAAGGACGCTTGCAAAATATAATTTAGTCGATCTTCTACTAATCGCGGTACTTTCCTGGTAGAACTGGACTAGTTACGAAGAAATAGCAGTCGTGTCAACGTGTGTTGTTCTGTCTTTTACTGTAAGCTTTAAATAAAATTTTCCGATGCGTAGTGGATATAATTGCCACCACATGCAGACTCCTTAAGGGGTTTTGTCAGTTTTAGCAGTTTTGTCCAGAAATATTTTCAAGCTATGAGTAATTCATGAAGAGAGATTTTTTTCGCTATAACTATATACATGAAGATTCTTCGGCGTTGCGAATATCCTTAGATAACCATCAGCCATGCCGCTTAGCCATAATTTACCTATTGTTTGACATAACTTAACAGCTGAAATATCCTCTGTAGGAAGAAGTGTACGATGCAGTGTGCTCGCCACTAGTTGGCGACACACTGCGCGGCATCGCTGGCGCTGTATTCGCCTACGGGGCGACTGGTGCTGGCAAGACCCATACAATGACTGGTCTCATGTCCCGTGCCCTCGGCCATTTATTCACCAGTATTTCTGAGAGTGATGACCCTAAGGCATACGAGGTATGTAGGCACCTTTGAGTATGGACGTCATATTTTTAACACTACCAGGGACGTGTTGACGTGTAGCCTTACAGGCTCCGATAAATATAGGTGTCATATTACTCAGTAATAAATTTTAGCTGTAATTTATATTTTCTAATTTCAACAATATGTGGTACATAATGTAATGAAATACAATCCTACATAATCTTTCAAGTCTAAAAAATTTAAAACAGAAAAATATTAAAACTTTTTACATTTCACCTAAAATTCTACAGTTACTGTAAGACACTGAACAGTTTGCCTGAACAAAAATTAATGTTATATAAAGTAACGGTGTGCATGTATATGCCACTGCTGAGTAAAGGCCATCTCTGCATAGAGGGTAGGTATTAGGGCATACTCCACCACGCGACTCCACTGCGGAATTGCGATTTCACATATCTTTGAAATGCCTACTTTTTTTGTTTGTGTATTTCGAAAATATGCAGGTTTTCTCACGATGTTTTCATTCACCGCTGTGCATGTGAAGGGTCAGCGCTTAAAATTAACAATTTCATTGGTGCCGGAACCGGGATTTGAACTCAGGTTGCTCGAGTATTTTAAATTAAAAGCGAGTCCGGACACAACTATCACAGCTCGAGTACGCGCAGATACAAGAAATTGTTAAATGAAATAGGATTTAATAATAAATTGTCCATAGCTTCATATGTCGTACATTCTTGTGTACGTATATTATTTACCGTCATTTACGCATTTTGTGGAGTACGAGGTCAGCGATAGTGCTAAAACTAAAAGCAGACTTATGACGTTATGTTTATTATTAAACATTCATACGCTGCTGTACAGCGCACTGCAATTAAGACTCGAATGATATTTCTCTATTTTTAACTCATTAAATGACTAGCCCCTATTTGTTCCTAGTCACACATAGTCTAAGTTACAATACGTTTTTGGCCCGTAGCACAATAAATATATTACATACCTCAAGGACATACATATATATTACATTAAGTAACATTATTTAACGAAATCAAAAAAAGAATAAGGTTGTCAATTCGTCATCATGTTTTATTTATGTAAATATATTATTCAACGATAATTTTATACCAACTTGCCTGATTTCAATGATACTTTTCTACTGTGAAAAAAGTTATCTTCGGTTATATAAGTTCGATCATACCTGATCGCTTTTTCACGATGACACAATTTTTATAAAAAAAAAACAGTTGAGACGCGTTTTTGTTTTTTTTTTTTCGTTTAGTATGACAACATGTTTTAGAATTGGATTCGAATCATTCGTTTAAACATTTGCCATAACAACAAATGCCTTAAAAATTTTACTTTCACTTCGAAATCAGGAGGAACGTGCAAATTAAAGTACTTATATAGTGTTCAATATAATATTATCTGTCAGATAGCAATCCTCGTGCGTTTATCATTTCAGTGCGTTTAATATCTTCACTCTGTACATGCGTGCAAGGTCGTTCCACATGGTGCCAACGCGTCAATGCGAGCCGTCACCACACCACATATCGTCATAGCTAACGGATACTATAATGTGCTTAATACTCGTAGCGCTGCCTGTGTCCCCCATATTTGCTTGTCCTATGTTATTTTCAGTTTCAAATGCCTTTTCAAATGCGGTTGAAATCTATAAGCCGATTTATAAATATATCCGTTTCAGCTACGATAGTTTTAATACATCTAGGTGACCTATCCAGAGGTATGTTTTAAAAATAAAAACTTTGCCTCATTATAAGATGCAACTTTATTCCATTGTCTGACCTTTTTTAATTAAATATTATTATGTTTTATTATATTCATTATTATATAGCTTAGTGTTGTTCGTAGTGCTTGTTAGAGAATATAGAATATAGGGATAGAGATCCCACCAGATGGTTAGTGGCGATGCAGCCATAAATGCTAAACGCACTACCTTAGTAAAATCATATTCATTCTCGACTTCAAGTCATCCACATTATATTTAGACGGAAAAACAGACGCCAGCAAAATCGCTCCATTCTTCTGTTCTACGAATATGAATGACAAAGCAAAGTGCTTGCTTCGAATGCATGTTATGTCAGCAAATATATAAGGGAGTAATCAATGGTGTAATTCTGATGCACACTCTCTAAAATGTAACCTTAAGAAGAGACTGGTTACTCTGCGGCTATGCTGGACGCTATTCAGATAGGTTTCAACCAAAGATCACCAATGCAAGTCTCTCAATTGACTCCAAAGCATTTGTGTATTATTTAGAAGCCATCCTGGTGTGAAGTCCTGCCGCACTTCTCTAAGATAACTGACTAACTATGCAGCTTTTTTGGCCTTCTATCAATGAACTCTCGAAAGTTGAGGTTTGAGGAAATCTCTACTGTTGTCGCTGGCAGCACTAAACCGAATATGACGTCATCTATTCCAGCGAGGAGGCACATGGTCGGATGGAGCAGCAGGCACTTGCATTTCGGCTGCGTTCCCGGACGGTGATATAGTAGATATAGATACCACTAGTGCTGCTTGTCGTTTATAATAGTTGTTTTATAATTCAAGTTAAAACATTAGAATCAAAGTAAAAACGTTAGAACTTTTATACTACTCTCTATAGTCGGTATATCCCAATGTCAAATACTAGAAAGTTGACGCTAAAGTTAACTCTAAAAGACATGCCTAAGAGTTGGTGGCATTAAATCTCACAGGATGGCATCACCCATTTATAGACTGCCTACAATGATTCTGTGAATTCTGTGAGCGTGTGAATAAGATTCAAATGCTCTACCTACCTTCCCCTAAATTTGATCTCTATTGGCCTAAATGCCTGTGTACCCATTCGTCACATTTCATTAATTTTCAATCTTGCAAACCCATCGCGTACTCAATTATTAATTGAGTACGCGATCTCGTAATTTGAGATTTTTTATTGTTTTTAAGTTTTACAAACATAATATAGATATAATAACATATATATGAACCAGTAAGCATAAATACATTTTGAACAATGAATAGGGAATTTTCTCAAGTAATAATTTCTAATTATTAGTAAAATTACAAAACTTGTGAACGAAAATAGGCTTTCCATTTGTTCCAATGCCTATGTCCGTTAACTTTTTGCGCTAATACTCGTAGCAAAGTCCGACGTCTAATGTCCATTTTCTAACATGCCCTGTCCGTAGAGTGAAACCTGCCCTAGTTTCATTAGGCAGTTCTATTTCTAGGCAATTTCCTAATTGTTTTGCGAGTCAATGAAACGGCAATCAACTATTAAAATGCTGCTTTGTATATAGAAGATAGAAGATAGAAGTGCCTGACTTTACGCATTATGAATGTGCGGCAAGTTAAATACGGCAAACCAACATTAATTGTTCATGGAATTAGACATCCTCATTATAAACTTTGGCAATCGGCCAAAGTCGGCCAGTGAATTCCAAATAATATGCGAGTTTAATTATCTTGGTTAGAAATAGTTCACTACAGTCAAATGATGTAATAACGGTGCCCTATAACTAAAACAACTGTGTCTGCCTGTCTGTCCGTCTGTCACCGGGCTGTATCTCATGAGTCTTCATAGTTCGACAGTTGAAATTTTCACAGATGAGGTATTTCTGTAGCCATTATAACAACAAAAAACAGAATAAAATAAAAGATATTTAAGGGGGCTCCCATACAACGGAGACCATTTTTTTGCCGTTTTCATAGATGATGGTACGGACCCTTCGTGTTCGAGTCCGATTCGCACTTGACCAGTGTTTCTAAATGTACCCCAGGAATATTAATTAGTATTATATTCCCTATTCCAGTCACCATTAGCTTTAATAATGTTGCGTCCTAGTTAAGTAATTTGTAGCCGTGTATCGTAACATTGCCTTGATGTGTGTTACGGTGACAACTCACCATGAGGCGCTGCGGCAAACATTTTATGTGCAAATCCATGTTGCCATTTTTCTCCGAAATTTCTAGTCTTTTCAGTTATGGGTCCATTTCCAGTTATGCGTCAGGGGCCATCACTATTTTAAATTTCATCGTAAGTAAAAATATGTTTCATTATCATATTCTAAAAGTCTCCACTGTAGGAGCACGGCCTATCCATTAAGGGAGTAAGTATAGCGCTAAAAAATCTCGAATTAATCACGTTACTATAAAACTGCAAAACTAGTTCATTTAATGGCAACCCCTGGCGGATATTCTTGGAATATTTTTTGTTGAGTTTATAGGTAGTTGAATATGTTATTGCCACATCTACAATCATCAAGAACCAAATAGGAAGGACGTAGGTACGTGGGGACATGCGATGAATATGCTTTTGTCCATTACTTTTTAATCGACATGGGTTTTTTCAAAATTTTTTATTTTGCTTTTTCTTATTTTCTTCTTTTCGGCTTAAATCATACCTTCCGTAATCGATGTTACCTGTATCAGCGTAAAAAATTGATACAATTTCATTTGCTAAGAATAACGGTATAAATAATTTATATATACCGATACTTGACTCATCACGACATCTCTGGAACCATAAGGCGTAAAGACTTGAAATTTGGTAGGAATATTCCGTTCGCCGAGTAGAGATCAGCTAATAACGGATTTAACCACATTCCACAAAACAATATTTGCCGTATCAGCTAGTGTAATAATATATGCAGGTGTTATAGGGAATTCCGCTTTTATGCAAATTATTCTATTCCTTGAGAATATTCAAAGAAGTTCTTGCCGTAGTATTTTAGTTTTTATAGCGTTCATGAAAACACAAATGTTTGTTTCACAACAGCATGCTAAGCCTTAATAGATAATTATGACTGTCAGTTACGGGATATAATTCATTAATGCCGTGTTATATACATATAGTGAATATTGACACTGAAAAATTTCATAATGAGATTTATAACTGAACACAATCCTATGAACATGGTTTATATTTAACTAGCTGGCGACTACGTCTCCCTAGAATGGGCCTAATCATGCCTAAACTTGCCCGAAACTGTTGTTAGGTCACTCTCTTCTTATCTTCCTTTATCATGCGTCGCACA